TGCACAGCCGAGTTCGCGCATTCTGTACTCACAATTTCTTTTTGAATGCATGCATCTATGCAAGTAGATAGTTACAGTTAAGCTGTCGAAAGTTATTGAGCTAAAATTAGGCCTTGGCTTCATTATAACCTGCTTCTTCACGCTGAATGTAGTTGTATTAGTGCCATGCTTTCTGTAATTATTTATGAAGGAAGAAGAAAAAAAAAAAAAAAAAAAACGCGGATGTGCGTCATTATAAAATTGCGACTACGTGATTGCTACAACTATCTTTAAACAATCTCATTTATTTGGCATATATAGGATCGAAATAAAAAGATTCACATCTATCTATAAACTACAAGAGCTATTGAATTAAGCGCGCTGTTAACTATCTCAACAAGAAATCGTGAAAAAGTTAAAGTACTACATTGACTTTGTCTGAATTCACATGGCAGCATCAACATTAAATCACCTGTTTTTCTTCCAGTCCGTAGTACTCTTCTTTTTTTATAAACTAGACTTTCACACAACCTCAGCTAACAACTAATCAAGTAGCCATTCTAACAGCCGCGCCACTAACTGATCAGACAGATATACTGCCAATCAGTCAAAATCTAAGTCTGATAAATTTCATGATTTCTTCGATTTTAAAAAAGAGCTTGAGAATGAGTAAGCTTGTCATAGGTGTATTTCTGTCAGCATTGCTTCATAAGTTTTTTATAGTCTTTTAGACATAGACGTTTAGATAATAAACGACAGTTTGACCAAAAGCGTACTAAAACAACTAATGAATAACAATTCATATGATGAAGTTAAGCAGGCTTATAATATAAAAAACGTCGCAACGACTAAGAATTCATCCATGATATCGTGTTCCACTTGTAAGTTTTATTCTATTGCCATTAAACGTTTATATATGATACTAATTCATTCTGCTTGTTTTCATTTTGTAACTTGAAATCTAATTAACCAAACAGGGAAAGAGCAAACTGCTGCAATTTGGACAACGATTCCTGTTATCAATTCTCTCTTTTTGCAGCATCAAAGATCTGGCCCACTTCAGATAGCAGTTTTTTTTTTTTTTTTTTTTCTTTCTTTCTTTCTTTGGTTGTTCTTTTGCGGGATGATGTGCTTATAAGGTAAAAGTGATGGATATGCTATTTGCACAGCAAATAGCAAAATCCTAAAATTGATGTGCTTGGACTTGGAAGGAGCGACAAATCGATCGTAGTAATTCTTGAGCTTGCGGGAGGTGTAAACACAAACGCGAAAATAATACTGGAAAACGATTGCTTGAAAATCTACAGGAATGCACTGAAGACTTTGAAAAGTAATAAAAATGTTTTTACTGTTCTTTATTATGGTAAGTAAAAGTTTACTATCAAAGCTCAGCTGTATTTACTAAATTTACACTAAACAGAGAATACAACCTACTTTAAAGCCTAACTGTGCGCAAGCAACATTATGTAAGAGAAAGACATTTGGAATTGTGTTTACTCCGAACCTCAGTAGAACTCAAGTCATTTGCTGCATTTTTACCAACTGTACTTTCTTGGCGACAAGCCATTATTGGTTTTACCGGTGTTGTATCCAAAAACAATTCACGCTTATTGAAACTAAGGAAATTACCCTTAAAATAACACTTGCTAGCACATAATATCATTTCTTGATTCAGATGTCACAATAGTAAAACTAGGAAACCCTTAATTAAGCTGCTTTAACCCAGAACAACAGTTAGACCCACGTCAAATATAATCCCACAGTACACTTGAATAGTATAAATAAGAACCGCTCTTTATCAATAAAAGAATTAATTCAGCCTCACTATATCTTATTGTCTCTTACTACTTTTAATGTTATCACAGCCAGTTAATTTTTTTTTTTTGAAACTCTCGGTAAAGGAATGAGCGATATTATCAATACAGCTTCTGCTCATCGTCTTTGAGTATTCTGTCAAAAGAGGTAACCAATTCAAATTAGAATTTTTGAACAAGTATCAAATATATTTGAATTGCTTTTTGAGATTATTTGTAAGATAACTACAAGTTTTATTCTAAGTGAACGTTTTAGGCACGTATGAGCGAAATAGTACTGTTTCAAGCCAACTTATAATTGAAAACATCTATCCCAGTAGATTTTTGAATGCTTAATCCAATTCAAACAATAACTTGAGAGGATAACCGGTTTACATGCTTCAGCGATACGAATTGTTAACTCGTCATCTTTTTTAAACGGGTTATTGCAGATTTTGCTTTTTATCGTCACCCAGCGTTCCTCTATGGAATTATGAAGAGTAATGACTTGTATCATTTCATTTTCATCTAAAGTATCCATGACAAGCTTTACAAATATAACAATATGATAAACTATTGTTCGTTTCTTCGACTTCATACTGTTTTTAACAAAATCTTTATTTTTCGATGCTCTTCTCAATATCAAAAAAGAAGTCAGCATGAAAGATTCAACCAAATCCGATTTTAGGGCTCCTTCTATTCAGTAAATATTTGCTCATTGATTCGGAACTTAATTAAATCTTAAATTATAGTCTCTTCACTACATCTAGTATTAGCACAGAATGCAAGGAGAGAACGTATATGAGGCTTTTTCCACTGTGTGATGCAATTGGCACAAAAATAGTGTGAAATTAAGTATTAATTAACTACAGTTCAATAATAAACAATACCCATTTCTCAAGGCATTCTTAAACGACCAATTCATTCTTTCTGAATATCGTTTCGTTCACCTTTATCAGACCAGCACCTTATTCTTCTCGCATTCCAAAATTACTCACCATTAGAAAGCGACAAGTAAATTTTTTTTTTTAGAAAATTCACTACTTGTTATTCATATCGACATCGTCTCCAGCTTCCACTAATATCAATCATTACATTTCTCTCACTGCAACCTAATGTTACTCAGCTGTTGTGTAACACTCCTTGCATAACCGTTCTTGACACAGCCTTTACTGTTTCAAACAAACAATAATTTTGAAACATTTTAATGGGGGTCATCATTTGATCCAACGGAGCAACGCGCGTTAGAGTGTTTCATAAGGTGTTTCAAAACAAGCATATAAAACGTACTAATTGTAATACGTGTCCTATTTGATCAGAGTGTAACCCTGTTCAATTCCGTAACAAAAATAAATTTGCTTTTGTTTCTTTCTCTTTCTTTTTTTTTTTGAAAACGCCATCATATATAGTATGGTGCATCTATGAATTACGTTTTGAAAAAAATACGTGTGTACGTATGCACAGAGTGTGCGAGAGAAAAAAAAAAAAGGTTTGTTTGCGCGATTTGCCGAATATAATAAACATGTCTTTATGATAAACATTCTACATTATAATTTGAATATATACTTTCATTCACTCAAAGCCAATTCGGAAAGTCAGTATTCTATTATGAATCATTCCACTTTGATAAAATCTAGGCAAGCTGCAATTATGTTCCCATTGTCAGGTTTATGCATATAGTCTTTTTGTAAAGAGGGATTGCTTTGTTCTTCACTTGATTGTAAAACGTAGCATCTTGTATATATCCTTATCGAGATATTTTTCGTATGAATTTATTGCAAGTTTGAGAGAGAGAAGCAGGGCTATCGACTGATAGTGTCAAAGTTGATATCACTTTTGAAGTAATATATTGTATTCATTTTTTTCCAATGCATACATGTGTTATTATCATGACATACTTAATATATAAAGTTGCAATAAAAGACTAACAAGGAAGAGACTACATATGAGTTCAGCTTTGAACATAGCTGCCCTTTTTTTTACTATTCATTTTTATTATAAAAGTAAAGCCCAAGTTTGCTACGATAGTGAATTACTTTTCCATAAATTTTTATATAAACGTATTCCTCGTTCTTTTATAGTCTCTCGTTTTGTGGCTTGCAGATAAAATACACTATTGGATTTGAATAAGACTGCTGCCTTCAGAGAGTTTCTTTTCAAGTATTTAATTAGCAAAGAGGAATCATGAGCAATTAATATCATATGGATCTATCCTACGACTATCAATATCTCGCGAAAATATAAAAATATTCTCTGCCGAAATATACTCTCATCATGCTCTTTTCTGAGTTTACCTGGGGCTAGCACTCTGCTGGTTACAATTACTGATTATATATTGCTCAAAATGGGTCGTCACGGCGTCAGTTGCAATGACATCCTCCAAAACATCTTCCTATGGGCTAGGAATACTTTATTGGTTATCAACCAATTCGTCTTTGCTGGTTTCCCATCGTTGTATTCTTGATCTATTAAGGGAGTTTTTGTTTATATCTAAATCAATTGAATTGACCGGGATTAATATATGTGCCCAAATATATCATAAAAGAAATTGTTTAAACAAAGGTCAACGCTGCCTTTTTTTTTCTTTGATACGCAGAGGTGCCAAATATAAAAGAAAAAACGAATTAAATGTCAAGACCCAGTTTTAAAAACTCAACAGTGCAACATGAATGACGTTATTGTTTAACAATGGCCCAATCATTTTGACCATTTGTCGATCCATAGTGCACGTAAATAAAGTATAATTCTATAAGTATATAAATGATAAGTTCAAATCATACTTGCTTCATTGTGTTATGAATACACAGTAAAAGCGAGCTAGTAGCAAGATGCGTCAACTTACAAGAACATTAGCTTTTCCTTGAAAATATAATGCCGTGCTTTCCCTGAATTTATGTTTGAAGAAAAGGATTCTAGAAAAGGAAATTTCAAGGTACACAAGACATACAAAAGTGAACGCCCAAAATCAATGGTTGGCTCATAAAAAAAAGGAACATTTATGCTCAATGTTTATGCAACCAAAATCATGCAAGCAAATGACGTATCTAAAGATATTCACTCCCCCCTTTTTTTGTAAAATAAAAATCACTTCACACGAGGTTTCTTTTTGGGTCAAAAGACAACATTTCTTAATAATCAATAGTTCATTCAAGAGAGACATATAATTTGAGCTATGACATCTTTTCAAACATTAAAACAGCTTCATCGAGAAACTGTTACTATAATAAGCATATAACAACCTTATACATTGAGCATGATGGCTCATTTTACAAGATGTGTGTACTTGTGAAATTCATAATGTCAAACATGTCCCCAAAAGATCTCTATGTATCTCTTACGTCATCATATGAATGACTTGTTTATCACATGTATGTATCTTTCTCTCTCTCTTTCACTTTCTTTTACCTTGTCTTTTCACATGCAAGTATATTTGACGTTTAGTGTTGGGCCGTTTTTGTCGCTGAATGAAATCATAAAAAAGGATGCATAAATCAGGTGAACGTTATTTTTTTTCCTATTTATTTATTTATTTTTATTCAAATGTATAGATTATCCAAACTACCTATAGAGATTTTATATATTATTGCCAGCCATTTGAGCATACAAGACTTGATTAATGTAGCAAGACTTAATATATGGTATGGATATCGACTGTCATCTGTTTTAAGTGAACGAATTAAAGAGTTGGTAGAAAAGGATGGTTGGAGAATACATGTAAGTCATGGTCTTTATGATGAACTATATAGCATCTAATCGTATTGATAGATTGACGTCTTGGCTACTTTTCATGCATCTTCGAATAGCGGTATACCCTCCTTCCCATACTCAACAGAGCTGCTACTACTAGGCGAATTCAGTAGAGTGAATCCAGTGACGCTCACACTCGAATTTCTCATGTGTCCACTGGACGATATCGGTTTTGGCGCAGTAAAAGATGCTCCAGTGAGCGACCGATCACTGGTGATGTACGAAAAGATCAGGGCAACCATCAACATTGTTGCCTACTTTGCACAAATTTCGTCCAATCAACGTCTTCAGCATGTCAATCAAGCAGGAGGCACACTGCTCAGCGATCGTATGTTGTGGGAAAAACTAAAGGGCACTAAACAGATGAGAGGAGCCGCCCAGATGAGTGCTGGATTCAAAGTAAACTATGAACTATTGGTTGAACCCAAGACAGAGATGCTGGCAGTCATTGAGAAGCATGTCAAGAACCACAGGACGATCTTGGATCGACCTGCTCTTCTATCGTTTCATACAATGTACGTCACTCCCGAATGGTGGATCAGACAGATGGAGACACCCTTCTTTAGCCCAAGCGAGCAACAACAAGACTGTCTTGTCCACGGGCTTTGGTAAAGTTATTTTTATTGCCAAGTAATAGAATCCACATGGTTGTGAAAGAAATTCAATATTTCCTGTTGTACTTTAATAATTCGCTCGTGATCCTTGGACGTTGTATTATCTAATAAAGACCACTCCAGTGTTGTTTCCTGAAAGATCTCGGATACCGAGACAGGGTAAAATCCAAACTTGGATTCAAACAGTTGAATGCTTGGCTCGTTCTTTAGTGAAATCTTGGCATGAAATGTCTTTACTCCTAGTTCTTCCATGGCTATTATATGTTTAATACAGAGTAGTAAATTAGATAAATATCTACCATATCCCATCATAATTCTTAATGCTTCTCTTCCTCGTCCTGTCTTTCGATAGTCAGCTTCAGCAATCATGACTTCAATCTCTCCAAAGGTTGGATCGTCATCAGGGTCATTAAAGAATATATTGACATCACCAATCATAACTAATAAAGTCAACACTTGTTTATTATTATAATCATTCTTACCTGTCTTGTCCTTTACTTCTTCTTTGGGAATATCTTTCAAGTGAACTGGACTGTCAGTAGGAAGCGCGGTTATGATAAATGTCAGCTCTATTCATGATTATTATCGTGTAAAGAATATCTCTTTTTCTTTTACTTTTATCATCTTGATGCCACGACTGTTGCATTTCATATTCTTCTTCTAATGAAAGTGGTTCTGACGCTGTCATCTCTTGAAGAAACGGACTCTTCATCCATTCGTGATATTTAGGAACATGCTCTGGTTTATAAGGTACAAGTGCAACTAATTGACCAATCTATATTCATTTTAGTCTTGCATTAAAGAAAAAGAAACGAGACACTTTACAAGAATCAAGTTTTCGTTAATCTTCATGTATAAAAAGAGAGAGAGAGAGGAAGAGGGAAAAGAGTGACTTTTTCTCTTTCTTTTTTTTTTTTATTTATATATTTAAATGAGTGTAGAGTTTCCCTTTACTTAAAAATAAAAAGAGACTTATTTTTGACATTTAGGAAATAATTACCTTGCTTGTCAAACATGTACCCGAATTCATTACTCAATCACCTGAATTACAAAAGAACTACTTTAAACCTTACAAGCCAATAGCCACACGATTTATGCAAACTGCAGCCATGGTAAAAAAAAAAAAAAAAAAATAGAAAAACATCATTGAATTCATTGTAATAATTTAATAGCCTGGATTTGTATTCATTGACTTTGCCAATCGTCATGCGGCTGAAGAAGCTTACAAGGAACTGAAAAAGATTCACTTTGGTCTATACTTTAAACCGATTCAAGTAGAATATGCCAAACCTGATCCAAGCGGGCAAAAGGAACTTCCGTAAGATAAATATTTAAATAAATGGAATTTTAATAATAACGATTACATAATAGATCATCAACACCACTTGAATCACCTGAGCCGATCGCGCCTTTACAAGGCATCGACTACCCATCAAACCCACATTTGAGATACTTATACCCTGACCCAACTCCCGAAATACTGACCAACATCACACATGCTATCGGCTCAGTTCCTCGACTGTACACACAGGTTCTTCACTTGATGAACAAGATGAACCTGCCACCTCCATTTGGCCCACTTGTCAAACAAGCTGTACCGATATTAAGGAAACGGAAAGAGGACGCGTTGCTGTCGAGTGACGAATCTGAGCTTGAAGAGGAAACACCACAGGATACGTCCAAGGAACAGGAGGAGCGTGTAAAGGAGGCGAGACAGGCGCGTATCGCGGCTGAAAAGCAACGATTGGCGCTAAAAAAGGCAAAAGAGAATCAACAGATACAGCAAATCCAGCGTCAATGTCTTCCACTGGAGCAACTGACTCACTTGGCCGCCTTCAAGAACTATGAGCCGGGTGAAGTGTCAAATAGGCTGTATATCAAAAACCTGCACAAGAAGACGACCGAACAGGATCTTATTGAGATATACTCGGTCTTTTCGAATGATATCAAGGTCAATTTGATGACCAAGGGTAGGCTTAGAGATCAGGCCTTCGTTACTCTACCGGATGAAAACGTTGCTAAGCTAGCATTACAGTCTACAAATGGATATGTCCTACATGATCGTCCAATGGCTGTCGTCTTTAGTAAAAATCGAGATAAAGTTCAACATTGAAAAGGTATTCCTTTTTTTTTTTTCTTGGTCAAAGTAATACTAGAGCTTTTTCTTTAAGCTCATCTTCAAGGTTACTCTATGTGTGTCTCTTTAAAGATGCTTTAGGCAGTGTTCACAGCTGGGTATGAATTACTTGATAAATTTTTTTAAAGTGACTCAGTTAATGCAGAGTCACAACTGTCATTAATTAAAAAGGGAGAAAAGAAGCTTTTTCATGTTTTTTTTTTTTTTTCATTCTTGTATACATTCAACACACTTTAGGTAAGGATTTTTTTTTATTTTTTTATGCTAAAGAAGAAGCATGATGCAAAACTTTTTTGGTCCCGAATCTTGTAAACATTTTCCTATTTGACCTTTTGGATCTATTTCGAGATGTGGGGTAACCATGGTGAACAATCTCTGAAGAAACTCTTTAGCATAAATAATCTTATATATGAATTTTTTGACTCATTCTCTTTTTTCTCGATAGATTATTTCATGTTTATATAATAATTCATTGAATAAATAAAGTTCTTATTTTTGCCATTTAAAAAAAATTCATTTACAAAGTGTTTTCAAATGTTTAAAGAGGGAGAAAAAAAAATTTTTTTATGTACATAAAAAACATCAAATTACAAGCTTCCGCCTTGTTGTTCGCGTTGAAGTCTAGAGATGTAAGCGCGAGAGACGACGTTCCATGCTTCCATATAACGATCCATACACTTTGAAAGACAGGCTTGTTCACCAGATTCAAGACGAGGTCCAGGCTTGGGGACACACTTCAAGTAGCACTTTTCATTGATTTTCTATTTTACACAAGAATTAATAACAATTATTACAAGAATAAATATACGTTACGTTGATGAGTTCTTGAGCATTAGCTAAAGCAAGTTCAGAACGAACTTGATCCATTACTTCTTGCTTTTTGTTGCTCTAATTACCCAGACTATGTTAGTTTTATATTTTAAGTATATCCTTTGCTTATATTACAATGTCACCACCACCAAAACTGTTGTAGCTTGAAGAGTAATCGCTCATGTTTGTAAGAATAGAAAAGAAGAAAAAAAAAGAATTAAAGCGTATTGACACACATACACACACACTCACAGCAAACGCATTCACACCCTAGGCTAATAGATTCTAAGCCACGAATGAGCTAGGGTTAAAGAAAGTCACTTTGAACGGAGATTGAAATTGCACTTAGTTCGTCTTCATATTGCTCAAATGTGATTCTCTTTATACCCTTATTTAGCCCCCCTTTTTTTTGCTGGAATCACATTTGGTCTTTATTTTTGGGTGATTTTTTCAATAGCATATATACAACATTATTATTGAATGAATAGCTCTTTTAATAATGCGTGTGTGTTTAAGGTTGCTCAAGCATAATTTGTTTTTTCAATATGGGAAACGCTGAAATGTTTGGTTAAAATGGCTCACAAATACCTTGTATAGATATCCGTAATCACTAGTTCTTCTATAAGTTATCTTTTTACGACATTTGTTTAAAGCTGTTTTTTCTTTGCATGAATACTCGTCATTGTACTCCTTCCACTGTTGTGTGCTACATGGTCGCCCTTTTTTTTTATCTGAAAACAATAAGGCAAAGTGCTACAACTACATAACCTAAATGATTTATTCATAAAACAGACTAATTATAATTTATCTGATTCTTTTCTTATGGGCAATTGATATAGGGGCAAATACGGGGAGAAACATACAGGTCATCATCATTTGCAACTGGGTCTATTAGTACAGACAATGAGACATCCTTCATTGCCCTACATGGTGACCTTTAATAACTGAAGAGTAGCTGTGAATATGGTATATGCCACCTATAGCCTGTTCAAACCTTATTTGTCTCAATCTTTGAAATAGAGCCTCAACTGTGAGTATATGGCTACGTATTACTTATTGTCTTATGTATTTCTAAGAGAAGTGTATATCTACTTTTTATCGACAGAATATTATAATAAGCACCGCTGAAATTATAGGATTCGAAAATTTAGCAATGACATCTCTGTCATTTTGCTCCTCAGCATAGGCTTCAATGTATTGCAGCACTAATTGTAATATCGTCTTTTTTATTCATGCTTGGTTAGATTAATAGGACGTTTATTGATATTTATTTTTACTACATACAGAAGCAATCTTGACTTGGTTCATGTAACTGTCAATATTTCCATTCTTTTTAACAACTGAATTGCTAATAAACACATATCTCAATAAACGCGTTTTAATAACATTTTTCTTGAAAAGTGTCATGAAGAAAAGATATAAACTTGTGTAATAATAATGCATTATATCCAATAGTATGGCGTATATGGCTGTCTCAATAGAGCCCTTGCTCAATTAAACTATAATAAAGTTATTGAAAAACTGAGTAAAGACTTTTGATGATTTTGAACAAGTTATAGATGACATACACTATAAGAGCCAGCCTAGGTATCTCGGTTATGCGCTTTGGCACCTTCTTGATTGAACGTTGCTGTTGCTACAAGCCTCATATTACATGATACAGACTTTACATCATTAAACTCGTGTTTCTTCTGTACAAAACGCAGTAAACGCCGTAAATGGTTTCATGTGCACACTGTCAGTGAACCTTGTCGCGAGCATCAACCAAAACACTATGTTGTCGGGATCATTTGATCTAAGCTTTGAGCTGAGTTATATACATACAGTTTCTGTAGGTTGTGAACATGTCTTGTCCCCATCTGTTTTTGCCAATGGTCAAAACGGACGAACAGACGGAGGGAGACTATTGATGATGTTTGTTAATTACGGCTATTTTTCCTCTTCATAAAGACTATCCTTCATTACTTTACCGATTAAAAGAAGTCATTTTTAAAGTCAACAACAAAAAAAGTAGAAAAGGACTGAATATTGCTAAAGTAATGTTTAAGAAAAGACTTTTATAAGGAGAGTTTATGATGACACTACTTGTATGCAAACGTTGTCATCTGATGCATAATAAACAACAATATATTTAGACTGTATATAATCATCATTCATTCCAAAGTGCCTTTTATTATGTAGGAACAATCAAGAGATGATGTTGTTATTATTACCTTGATGTACAAACTCCAAGGTAGTCATGACTGTCTTCATATCATGTTCCATGATTTGTGCCCAATTTTTCACGTCTCCCAGTTCCTTGAGTGAGTGATTAAAATTGTCTACTAGTGATAACCACTGTTGTGTTTGGTTTATATATTTTGTCACTTGAGTTGCTAATCGTTTTGACTGTTGTTCGAGTTCCTTTTGTTTGGCGAATATGTCACTCACTCTATCTTGTTCATTAGTAACATCTTTTTATTATTTTATTTATTTACTCTTCATTAACATAATCTGTGATGGAATCTGTTAATTCATTGGTAGCTTGAACTGCATTCTTTCGAATTTGCTCTAATGATAGAATTAGCCCCTCCCATGTTTTCAAAGCATTTATAATACCATTATTTCGTTTTATTTCTGCTTTCTTTTGGTTATGGTTCTTTAATAACAGAGTCAAATCAGACATTATTTTATTTTTTAAAAAAAAAGAGAGAATTATTGTTGAGGGTTATTATTATTATCTCCTTGTTGAGCACGGTTCTTGTAGACCATTTCAAAGAGCTTGAGCGAACTTGACTGAAGCTCATCTACCTTGGCCTTCAGATCTTCAGCCTTGATATCCGTATCACCAGCCTGAGCCTTGGTTGTCTGTTCTCTAAGAGATGCAATCATGCCCTTGAGCTTGTTAGCCTCTGTTTGATCGATTTGATCTTTAAAGTCTTCCATGGCCTTTTCTGTTTCACTCATGGCTGATTCAGCACGGTTAGCCATTTCGATCGTATCACGACGAGCACGGTCTGCCTCTGCATTCTTTTCGGCTTCCTGGACCATTCTCTCGATTTCGTCACTGCTTAGACCAGAAGAAGCAGCAATGGTAACTGGCAAGATATGAGTAAAGATATAATACAAAGTAATATAACTTACTTGATTGATCACGACCCGTGGCTTTATCCTTGGCTGCGACGTTGACAATACCATCTGCATCAATATCAAACTCGACTTCGATCTGAGGCACACCCTTGGGAGCAGGAGGGATACCCGTCAAGTTGAAGTCACCGAGCAGTTTGTTGTCTCTGCAGAGCTCACGTTCTCCCTGGAACACTCGGATCTGGACCTGGGTTTGTCCATCAGCCGCGGTAGAGAATACCTGAGATTTCTTGGTCGGGATCGTCGTGTTTCGGTTGATGAGACGAGTAAAGACGCCGCCGAGGGTTTCGATACCCAAGGAAAGCGGAGTGACATCCAAGAGAAGAATGTCCGACACCGATCCAGCAAGGACACCACCTTGGATGGCAGCACCAAGAGCGACGGCTTCATCCGGATTGACAGACTTGCTAGGTTCTTTTCCAAAGATGCCTTTGACTGTTTCGATCACCTTGGGCATACGAGTCATACCACCGACGAGAATGACGTCTCCAACCTCACGAGCAGAGACGCCTGCGTCCTTGAGCGCCTTTTCACAAGGAGAGATTGTCTTTTTGATCAAATCGCCTACCAATCCTTCATACTTGGAACGTGTCAGCTTCATGTTGATATGCTTGGGACCTGTTGCATCGGCAGTGATATAAGGCAAGTTGATATCTGTCTGAACAGTCGAAGATAACTCGATTTTGGCCTTTTCACAAGCTTCACGTATACGCTGAATGGCCATACGATCGTTGGAGAGGTCCATACCGCCTGTTTCCTTCTTGAACTCGTCCACAACGTATCTTACAAGATGAGAGTCAAAGTCCTCACCGCCCAGTGCTGTGTCACCATTGGTCGACTTGACTTCAAACACACCATTTTGAATCTCCAAGATGGAGATATCGAACGTACCACCGCCCAGGTCATATACCGCAATGGTCTCATCACCTGCCTTGTCCAGACCATAAGCCAGAGCTGCTGCGGTGGGTTCGTTAATCACACGCATGACGTCCAGCCCGGCGATTTTGCCTGCGTCCTTGGTCGCTTGTCGCTGAGAGTCGTTAAAATAAGCTGGCACAGTAATCACCGCATGCTTCACTTTCTTGCCCAGGTAGCTTTCAGCCGTCTCTTTCATCTTGCCGAGCACAAAGGCGCCAATCTGTGAGGGCGAGTACTTTTTACCACCAGACATTTCGACCCATGCATCACCGTTCGTGTGTGGCACGATTTTGTATGACACGCTCGGGATGTCTGTTTGAACAGCAGGGTCTTTGAATTGACGACCGATTAGTCTTTTGGTAGCATAGATTGTGTTTTCAGGATTCACCACAGCCTATGTAGGGGATTAGCTTGCGATGTTATGGTTTCTTTTTCTTTCTTTTTTTTTTTTTGTTACCTGTCGTTTGGCTGTCTGACCCACGAGCAATTCGCCTTCTTTGGTAAACGCAACCACAGAAGGTGTCGTGCGTGCACCTTCAGCATTCTCAATTACTTTTGGATTTTTACCTTCCATTACGGCTACACATGAATTCGTTGTGCCCAAGTCAATGCCAATGACAGGTCCAGATACTTTGTTGGAGTAAGGGCGAAGTTGGGATAAAACACCGACATGCTGCCAAAAATAAAGGATATCAGTTTGCATGTCTTTGATTGATTATAGACTTACATGTCTCGCTATAGGAAAAGTCTTGGTAGTCAATTTGGATAATCGATACATTTATGTGTGTGTGTGTTTGGCAGCAAAGAGAGAAAGAAAGAAAAAAATATCGAAGATTCAAGAAAAAATAATGCAAATTTATGACGGAGTTTACATTGTTTGTAAACCCAAGCAAGAACAATGACAATGACGAAAAAGGTGGTTTATGAATAGCTGATAGACTATGTATACTTTAATAAGAGTGTGCGTATTTTCTCGAAAAAGAAAAAAAAAAAAAGACATTGATGAACGCATGTGAGCAAAAGAAAGAAAGAGAGAAAATAAGAAAAAGAAATCATCAATGATCGTCCTTCCAAACGCGCGTATCCACATCTTTATCATGTTTATATCTTTTTTCAAGCAACGCCCTCTGTATATATATATATATACAATTTGCCTATTCTCAATTTCTCTTTCTTTTATGTGTATCTGATCCAATATCTCGATCAAAAATAGCCCTTTATCACATCAATTTGCTGAAACAAAGGTGATGGCGTTTTTATTTATTATAATGTCTCTTCTTCAAGTTCAGCTTCTTGCATATATGTCGTCAATTCTTCATCTAACTTGGCCTGTGCCGTCTTAGGGTCTTTCATCATGTACGCATCCAAAGATTTATCAAGATCCTCTTGTGACAAGGGCTTCTTCTTTTCTTTAGTACCCTTTTTATCATTCTTGGGTTTCTGTTTTTGTTGTTGCTTTTTTTGTGGTGGTTGTCTTACTGGCTTCTTGTTTGGTTTGGTGATCCTACCCGCCATCGCTGGCTTTCTTCGAGTATCTACGGGCTTACCAAGACGTTGTTGAATACTTTTGGATTTAGGACTATCGGCTTTGATACGACTAAAGACACTCTTGGATTGAATGACTGGATTATGAGTTGGCTTTTTGCTCTTTTCCAAATTAGCAAATCTATAAGAATGAGTACATATGTATTAATAATGAGCCATTCTCACCTTTCATTTAATCCACCAGAGCTATAAGAGACAGTTCTCGCGTTGGTAACAACTCGACGAGTATTAGGAGACATGTTGCAAAGTGAAAAAAGAGAGCTCTCTTTTTTATTCCCCCATAGAAAAAAAAAAATAAGGTAAATTGTGGGTGCACCAATAAGGTAGGGCCAAAGCCACACACATATACATCTTGCATATTTTGCTTGCATACAGCTTTTGACTGATCGAAATAAACTCCTTTCTATAAGCTTTTTGTTTATCCAAATGAAAACTCTATTGTCTACGTTAAATAAATACAAATATATAAACAAATGATGCTCTTTTTTTCCATAGTAACAAAATAAAAGAGGAGAGGGGATCATATTTACCAAAAATAATATATTGGTATTCCAGACCATTTCTATTTCCGGCTTGTCATTAAATTAATCCCTTTTCTCTTTCTTTTTTTTATAGAGAAAAACGGGCATGAACAGTAGACGATGTCTTTAAAAAATAGAAAAAGTGTTTATAGTAAAAAACACAGCACAAGCGACAATGAAACAACGTTATTAAAAGAAGATGACCCAGAAATTATGAAAAGAAACAACACTCGACTCAGTCGACGCTATACCCAACGAAAGCCTCTTCCGTCAGTGACTGAATTTATGACAGAATTTGAACAGGAAAGACGACCTTCACCTCCGCCGACACCATTGCCACAAGAGGAAGAAGAGATCACGTTTGAGGACGAGGTCTTTTCTGATACAGCTCGTCTCACTGTGAACGCATCGAATATGTCAGGGTTCAGGCATCCACTAGACGCCTCTCCTGAGCTGCCTGCGATATATAAGCCGGCAAGTGTGGACCCAGAGATAGATCGAAAAAAGGTCAATAGGCTCATACAGTACGATCGACACAAGTTTTTTCGAGATCTTGTCAAGGCGGTGAGAGGAGTGGCCGAGCGAGTGGTCAATTTGCATCAGTATGCGATGGATCATAAGGCTGCCATAGATGAGAACAAGGAACTCCAGGAGAGAAGACAAGAGCAGTGGCAGAAATATAGTGAAGAAGACCAAGAGTCTGATGCATCCTCTGTTGTAGATGAAAATATACCAATGAAACGAACAGCGACGATACCAAATCCTGATCAGGTCAAAGATGACAGCACGTCTGATGTGGAATCATTTAGTTATTTATCTGGTAATAGCTTAAAGTTATTCTCTCCACAGAACTCATTTCGTGTATTCTTGCATCATATTTTATGTTGGAAGTAAGTTTCAAGTGATTTAAGCATATATTTGTTATTAATATATTGCTAAAAGATGGATGGAGACCTTGATCATGTTTCTCATCGTCTTTCACGCCGTCACTCTCTTCATCGTCGGTTGGGGAAGTGATCCATTCCCAAATCCACCAAGCACATGGGGCCAAGTCTGGTACCAATATGTACTCCTTGTGATATTTATCCTATACACGTAACCAAACATGATATACATCTGAATTTATGACTAACTTCTTATAAAGAATCATAGCTATCTGCCGCATCATCATCCTCGGCCTCTTCTTCAACCCACCTTCACCACAGTCACCCAGGGCCTACCTACGACACAGCTGGAACCGTATCGACTTTATCGCCATCCTATCTTATTGGGTAGACTTTATTCTCTTGATGACACACCAAGAGATCAACGAAGACCAAGGCAGACGTATCCTCGTATTCAAGATGTTATCAGCATTAGTTTTATTACGGTTACTAAATATAACAGATGGAAGTAAAGTTATTTTGAATAGTCTCAAGAGAGCTGCTCCTCTCTTAGTGAATGTCTTATTCTTTGTGTTCTTCTTTTTTGTCATCTTTGCGTAAGTTGTCCTTTATGTGTGTATGTGTGTGTGCATACGTCTCTAAGCTTTTTCATCTAGCATCATTGGCGTACAATCCTTTAGTGGCTCCTTTCAAAGACACTGCGTTTGGCACGGTAAGAATCTATGACTATTTCTTTTATGTTTCTCACACTTTTTAGATCCAAACAATGCCTCACATACAGAGGAGTTACAACAATACTGTGGCGGATACATCAACGAGACAGGGTACAAAGTTCCCTATAAACTCAAATCTGGACAAACTGCATTATGGTCTAAAGGCTTTATTTGTGAACAAGGCCTGATCTGTGAAGAAACAGAAAATCCGTATGGAGGAACGATCAGTTTTGACAGCATCTTTTCGTCCATGCTGATCGTCATGATCATCACTGGTGTTCAATCCTGGACGGACCGAATGTACGACATGATGGATGCCGAATATGTTGTTGCTGCACTTTATTTTATTGTGATTGTGATCGTCATGAACTTTTGGTTGATAAATTTGTTTATTGCCGTGATTACAGAAATGTTTGCCAAAGTACGAGAGGATTCGCAGCACTCTGCATTTACCAACGCGACGTAAGTGGTTAGCCTTGAAAGAAGAGTTTTATTAATGCTCTATTAGAGCCAAGCCTGTCTTGGCAGACATGAATGAAGAAGGTGGATGGGAGTTTGCAGAGAATGAAGAACAAGAGCAACGACAAAAGGTATCTTCACTCACTTGGCTCGTCACATTCATGAGGCCGTTCTGGATCTTTCTGGTCGTTGTAGACTTGGTATGTATGGCGACCAAGCACAATGATATGAGCACGGCTCAGTTAGACGGTCTTGATCTGGCAGAGACGATATTTTCATTGGCGTTCTTGATAGAGATAGTCTTGCGTCTGCTTGCTCAGCGACGCGACCTCAAGGCGTTCTTCAAGGACAAGATGAACACGACTGATTTGTTGATTGCTGTTGTGACATGTATCATCCAGTTGCCGTGGATCAAACAGCACCGGCTGATCTATATCTGGTTCACTGGATTTCAAGTGCTTCGTATCTATCGTGTCATAGTCGCAATCCCACGACTAAGGAATTTGATGGCAAGTCATTGATATAAAGGAAAAGATGGAGGTGCAGCTAACATTTATACATTTATATTTATATAGTCAAGGGTGATAGGAAGTGTGTACGGTTTGATTAACTTGACATTCTTTATTGTGCTATCAACCTTACTTTGCGCTATTATCGTAAGCTTGTGTATAATTTAAAAAAAAAGAAAAGAAAAGCTAATATAAAATCAAAGGCATATCAATTGTTTGAAGGCGTCATTAACGAAACTGGAGAAGAAATGAGATTTTTCTCCATTTACAATTCATTTGCTGCACTTTATCAGGTAAGTTTTTATTTTTTTCATAGAGACCAAAGTGATTGAGCATGGTGTGAATAGTTATTCTCTGGTGAAGATTGGACAACAGTATTATATAATGTCCTTCAAGCCGGATCAACCAATCGAAACAGCGCAATCTATGCTCTATTTCTTGTCTTTTGGTTTTGCTTTTCCAACTGTAAGTTTCTTTCTTCCTTATTGACAAAGGCTAACATTTTAAAAGTTGTCTTGGTCAACATGTTTATTGCTGTCTTGATGGAAAATTTCGAAATTGCCGAAGAGGACAAGTTAAAGAACCAAGTCCTCTTTTTCATGAAAAAAACCGAATCAGAACTCAACAGAAAAACAGTCGTCAGTCGATGGAACATTTATCGATACTTCAAACCTCAACCCAAAGGACTAGACCTGACCAATATCCCAAACCACCTTGTCCTCTCTGTCCAAAAGAACGTTGTTCGAGAATTCATGAACGAGACGACACAAGAGGTTGCAGAGGAACGACAGGTGGAGACCACGCGGCATGGTATGATGAGCAAGGCGATGAATTTCATTAGCCGACTTTTCCCTTCACCCGACCTAGCTCACGAGCAAAGACCTGTGCTTCAGACACATGCGCGTCAGAGCATGCACTTTGACCAGGTCGGTACGTTTTACGATCTCAAGGGACACGGTTCTACCGATGAACCACGAGCGCTGAGGTACCTGATCGATCCGACCTTACGAGACACCGTCGCCAACAGGTACCAACAAGAGACGACGGATTTGGACATTGAAGAGCGCAAGGCGTTAAAACGCGACTTTATCGCAGCTCATCCGAGCTACGACCGTGCGCTGTTTATCTTTTCAAGCAACAACCCGATTCGACGATTCTGTCAGCGCATCGTCCCGCCCAGCCGAGGCGAGCGTACATTTGGCGTGCCCGCGTCACGATGGATCAGTCTATCATTTTCTGCCTTCATCACGGCCTGTGTGATCGCCAACGTAGTATTGACGATTCGAAATTCACCCGTGTATCAGTACCAGTACCGGAACGATCCTGAAAAGATCATGCGGTTTGTGTATACCGACTGGGCCTTTACGGTCGTCTTTTCGATCGAGTTTGTCATCAAGATAATCGCTGACGGGTTTGTGATGACGCCCAATGCGTACTTATTGAACGGATGGAACATGCTTGATCTCTTTGTCCTCGTGACCTTGTACATGTCCAACTTTGATAAATTTGCCGGTGCCACAGGGATCGAGCGTGGGTTTCGAGCGTTCAAGGCGCTTCGTGTGCTTCGTCTCATCAACTTGCTGGGTCCTGCCAAGGACACGTTCACAGCCATTCTCTTCACCGGTCTGCCACGGCTCCTGGAATCGGCTGCCCTCGGTCTCTGTCTGATCGTGCCGTTTGCGCTGTACGGCAAAAACGTGTTTATGGGTTTATTCTATCAATGCAACGATGACTCAAGTACGGGCAAGAGCGATTGTCTGTTTGAAAATATGTTGGGCACGCAAGAGCCCATGCCGGAGGACACGTCGATCTATCTGCCTAGACGATGGGCTAACCCGTACGACTATAACTTTGATTCCTTTTGGCGGTCACTGCTGATCCTCTTTGAGATTGCAAGTGGTGAAGGATGGGTCGACGTGATGGAGACAAGTATGGGCATCACTGGTAAAGATCTCAGCCCGGAACAAGACGCGAGTCAGCTCTGGGGTATCTTCTTTATGGTCTACAATCTCGCAGGCTCCGTTTTTGTCATCTCTCTTTTCTTGGGCGTCGTCATGGAGAACTTTACCAGACGTAATGGGTCGGCTTATCTCACTTCGGATCAACGACGATGGCTCGACTTGAAAAAGTTCTTGAACCAGGTCAGGCCAGCCAAACGACCCAAGTCTCCTCCAACGGATAAGCTGCGGAAATGGTGTTTTGATTTGACAGTTGAGAAGCAAGGGTTCTTTTATAAACTCATGACGGTCGTTGTTACTTTGAACATTGTCTTTTTGTGTGCAGATAACGTTAGTTCATCTGATCCTGGTAGTGGCGATGTTACGAGCTGGGATAATGCGAAAGGTAATCTCGAGTAAAAAAAAAAAAAGAAAGCAATATGTAAACTTTTTTTTCTAGTGGACGTTTATTTGACATTCATCGTCATTTACTGGCTCGAAATCATCATCAAGGTCCTTGGTCTTGGCTGGTCTTCGTTTCGCAAAAATCTCTGGAACCTGTATGATGTGGTCATGGTCTTTGGAGGATCGGTTACGACCTTTATTCATTATGGAAGCCCTGGGTTACAGTGGAACGTTGAGTTACAGAAACTGTTTGTTACTGCTCTATGTTTCAAGTTGGTACAAAGAAGCGATAGTTTAAATCAACTGTTTACAACCATGGCGTAAGTTGTTCTTTATAATGAAAAAAAAAAGGCTCACATCCCTTCGTAATAGAGCGTCTACCTATCAGATTTTAAATGTGATGGCTGTTTGGTTTATCGTCATGACGACCTATGCGATTATGTTTATGCAAATATTTGGGTTAACCAAGTATGGACCGAGTGCATCCAACGAACATGTGAACTTTAGAACGTTCTCAAGCACAATGATATCGTTGATTCGATACTCAACAGGGTAACGTTTATATATCGCTCAAAGACGAGGGGAAATATATTTATGCGGTTATATAGTGAAGGTTGGAATAATGTGATGCACGACTTTACTGTAGAATACCCAAACTGTGTTGTTTCTGATAACTACCTGGACTCTGATTGTGGATCACTTCGATGGGCCTACTTTTTGTTCTTATCATTCAATATCATCTCCATGTACATCTTCACTTCCATTTTTGTTGCTGTCGTTGCAGACAATTTCTCGTATGTCTATCAGACACGAGCCAATTTCTCGTTGGTCAACCGAGACGAAATTCGCAAGTACAAAATGACGTGGGCTTCTGTAGATACAGATCGAACAGGATATGTCAAGCCAAGCGAATACATGACCTTTTGGCGCGTAAGTTTAATACGGCTACCTCATTTTGATACTTATACTCAATAGAGACTCGAGGGTATATTCACCATACGCATATTTGAACCGGAGTACTCGTACAAGAATTTGGTAGCTCAGTTTAAAAAGAAAGTCAAGACAGACAAATATGATCATGATTTGGACCTCAAGGGCCTTTCTGAGAAGCTAAACGAGTTAAACCCTCAAGAGCTACACAAGAGAAGACATGACTTGGAGAGAATATATTGGGTAAACGAGTGACAATAACAAACAATGCCAATATAGTAAACTTGGTTAAATTAGGAAACTGCGTTGATTGAATCTGGGTCTAAAGGCGTGTCATTTAATCAAATGTTATTAATGTTGTCACAAAGAAAGTTGATTGTGCCTGAACATTCGCTTGTGTAAAGTGTTACAAAATGTAAAATAAGCTTTTACACATGTTTAACTCTTTAATAGACTAGAGGACTTGCTGGAGTATCAAAAGAAAGAAGAAGCGATTCATACGCTTATTTCTATCGATCGCGTCAGAGGTTTAATGGAGACGATCGCTCTCAGAAAGAAGTTTTTGAAGCATTTGGAAAAGCAAAAGAAAGGTAAAAAAAAAAAGTCATTAAAAAACGGAAAGTGGGCTGAAAATAAAATTCATGTAGTGCCTGCGATCATGGTTGACAATGAGGTCGTACAGCAATCATCAACTAGTTACACTCCTTTGTCCCCTCATCATTTAAAGTAAAATGGGAAAAACTAGAGATGATATATACTTATCTTTATTTTGTATATAGTACAAACTCAATATACGACTTGACGAGTGAAGATGAAAGCGGGGATGAAGACCACGTGAAATCTATGTTGGCTGTATCAAGCGAAGAGAGTGCAGTCGTTGAAGATAACCCATCTCATACCATTTGGCAAGGTAAAGAATGCTTGTATGTTTATGTCTTTGTTTAACATATTTTTTTTTTTTTTTTGCTAGACATGCTACACGATGAAGCATGGAAGCCATAATTTATGCACTATATTCCATTGGACGGTGGCTTAAAATAAAGTAGTCACATAGTTGACGTTGTTTTCTCGTCTTCTCCTTTTTTTGTTCAATCCATTTGCTTTTATTGTTTTTATTGTAAAATGGGTTCAAAAGCTGATCATAAAAAGAATAAAAAGACTGTTGAAAAGTCCAAAAAAATCGTAAAGAGTGAAGATGCATTTGAACAAGCTGTCTTAGCATTAGGAGGAACAAAGGGCGATATTAAGTACTTGAAAGATATCGATGACGACAATGAAGAAGAAGATCTGCAGACAACAGCGACAAAAGAAGAGGTAATTTGAGAGCTGATGTATAATACTTTGTGCTAATAGTATCTTGTTGCTCACTTGTAGGAAGCGTTAAAAAATGAATTAAAGTCATTTATGACAAATATTGGGTTATCAGCCAGTACATATGAGCAGGATATTGACACAGACGAGGAGCAATCAGAAGATAAGGAGGACGAAGAAGAGGATGTGAGCAGTGAAGAAGAAGAAGACGAAGATGAAGACGAAGATGAAGAGGAGGAGGAGGAAAAAGAAGAAGAACCTATGAAAATTCATACTCCTAAATCATCAAGTGGTTTGGTAAACACAATATATACATATCACCTTGATCATGGATTAACCGCTTTTACGTTAGCTTATTGAACCTACTCCCTTCTGGTATAACGTTTCACTCCCAGCCATCTCAATTGAAAATGTTCAGCGTTTATCGACCTTGCAGACGCAAGAAAAATTGAACTACGCCAAACAGCTTTTAAAAGACGAAAATGCCAAAGCCGAGACACATCCCATGCTGACCTCATCCAACCGCAGCTTCATGTCTAACATTATTCAATCAGGTACCTTGAACGACAAAGTGTCTGCATTAACCTTGATGTTTCGAGAATCACCTCTTCACGGTATCAAGACATTGGACACACTCATATCCATGAGTCGCAAAAAGGGTAGAAACGAAGCGGTCATGGCCATCACGAGTTTAAAGGACTTGTTTATTGGATCTGTCTTACCTGACCGTAAATTGATTTACTTTGCAGACCGACCTTTAGCAGCCAAGGAAGTATCAGATACGCACTTGCTTGTTTGGGCATTTGAAGATCATTTGAAAAAGACATTTTTGGAATACCTTCGTATCATTGAAGAACTTTCCCGTGACACCCTCATGTACGTTCGTAACAATATGGTGACATGTATCCATGATTTGTTAGCCAACAAGCCTGAGCAAGAGCAAAACTTGTTGAAGCTTTTGGTCAACAAACTAGGTGATTCAGATAATAAAGTAGCAGCCAAGACATCACAGTTGATTATTGAATTACTTGTACAACATCCTGGCATGAAGATGATTGTGATCAGAGAATTAGAACAGTTGCTCTTCTTGCCTTCAACGAACGAGAAGGCACAGTATTATGCCATGATCACGATGAATCAGACAATTTTGACAGCCAAGGAAAGAGATGTGGCAAACAAATTGACCGAAATCTACTTTATCTTTTTCAAGAAACTATTAAAGATACAAGAAAAGGAAGATAACAGTAAGAAGGATGATGAAGAAGAAGTGAAAGTCGAAGAAGAAAGCGATAGAAAGAAGAGTAAAAAGCAGATGAAAAAAGAAAAGCAGCAAGAACAGAAAAAGTTGGAACTAGATGACCATAAGACCAAGATGATTGCAGCCGTCTTGACTGGTGTTAACAGAGCATTTCACTTTGCTGATATATCCGACAAGATTGTTGAGGACCATCTGGAAACCTTGTTCAAAATAACACATGCCAGCACATTCAATGCAGCCATTCAAGCACTCTCACTCATCTTTACCATTTCGACAAGCAAACCCAACATAGCCGACCGATTCTATCGTGTGCTGTATGAATCATTATTAGATCCACGTATCCATCAATCATCAAAACAGAGCATGTATCTGAATTTACTATTTAAAGCAATTCGTGCTGATAATGACATGAGACGTGTTATGGCTTTCGTGAAACGTCTTGTTCAAATTGCAGCCCGTCATCAACCCGCATTTGTTTGTGGTATTTTTTTCCTAATCAGTCAGGTACGGATCTACTTATATTATTTATATTTATCTAACTTTAATGTCGTAGTTGATGGAATCTAAACCTGGTTTGAAAACCTTGTTGATGCCACCTGAAGACGATGAAGAAGAGCACTTTGAAGATGTTGAAGAAGATGACGCACCAAAAAAGGAAGACAATAAACCCAACAAGGTTGAATATGATGGTAGAAAAAGAGATCCTAGATTTAGTAATGCCGAAAAGAGTTGTTTATGGGAACTGGTAAGGCGGGCAACCCCCCTTTTAGAACGAACTTTGCTAATGACCCACATTTAGCTTCCATTCAAATCACACTATCACCCTTCTGTTGTAAAATATGTAGAATCTTTATTCGCAGGCGAATTGATTACCAACCAGCCTGATCTACACCAATTCACGCTGATGCACTTTTTGGATAGATTTGTCTATAAAAATCCCAAGAAGGAGTCAGTACCCAAGGGACAGTCTATTATGCAACCATTATCTGGCAGCAGACGAGATGGTGGTGTCTTGTTTACAAAATCTGCCATTAATGAAATACCCGTAAATTCAGAACAGTTTATTCGGAAGAAAGAAGAAGAAGTAGCTGCCGACGAAGTCTTCTTCCACAAATATTTTGCTCAAAAGGCTGCTGCACAACCAGCCAAGGCAAAGAAGGAGAAATCTGGAGAAGATTCTGAAGAAGAAGAAGACGAAGTATGGCGTGCGATGATGGCTTCTATACCAGGTGGATTAGATGATGAAGATGACAATGATGAGGATGCAGCTTTATACGATGACGATGAAGAAGACGACGAGGAAATGAAGGCATTATTGGCTGAGAATGAAGAAGAAGACGAGGACGAGGGTGATGAAGACGAGGAGGGCATTGAGTTTGGATCGGATGAAGAAGATATCGAACTATTAAATGCCTCCGACATGGAAGAAGAACTTCAGGCTAAACGTGAGCTTAGCGATGAAGAAGAAGAAGAGCAACCCAAAAAGAAGAAGTCAAAGAAGGAACGTCTTCCTACATTTGCTACTTATGAAGATTATGCTAAACTGATTGAACAAGAATAAAAACAAAATCATCTGAGTTCATACAATTGAAACCATGTCATCTTGTACTCTCTCTTCTTTTTTTTTGTCTTTTTATTTTAAACCCTTCCTTCTCTTTCATCCCTTCACAAGACCGACTAAACTAACGGCATGAGTAAATATCTCCCACCTTTTTTTCCTCTTCCTTTGAGCTTTTTTGACATCACTTTTATTATATTATTCCATCAGATTCCATACTCATTAAAATAGTGAAAGGGTGCAACGTAGTACCAAACCTTGTGGACATGCAACCATAAAAAAGGGACTTCGGAGATCTATTCCTTTTAAAATGCCGTTACAGGGTGGTACCAAGGATCGGGGTTTCTGCTGATATTGATGTATTATAAAAGGGTTCCCTACTTTTCATCTTGTTTTCTTTCCCTCTCTCTCTTTCCCTTTCTCTGCTTGCTTATATTAAAGGATGCCTGTACCTCTCGAATACAACACCTCTCTTAGACGTATGAGCACGCTCACGATCCCTAAACAGGACATCAACTTTGAGTAAGTGTATTGTTTATGTTCTTGTGTGTGAGTATCTAACGTTTGTGTAGTACCTACGACTTTCAACGCTGCACACCACAAAATGATATTAAGGATGCTTTCGAATCAAAGGACCTTGAAGCCTCCTATTGTCGTGACTTTGTCTGCTGCGGTCTCGTCCTAAATGATCTCCATGATTTGCTACAACACTATGAAGAATGTCATGTTCATCTTGAAGAAGAAGATAACTTTGACAGTGAAAGTGATTGTTGGTCTCCTATTGAAGAAAAGACAGAGTACATTGACATGCTCAAGAAGAAGGCAGTAACTTACCTGTCAGACGAAAATGAGGACGACACAAGGAAATCATGTGGAAAGAAGAGATCGTATAGTCAGATGACATGTGCCAACAGTGCACTCGAAATCCTTACACAATCTGCTGCCAAAAAGTTAGCATTGGCTGGTGGTAACAGTGTTGAATCCTTGATGACAGATGAAGAATTTCTTGCACAAGCAGGTGCTATTTTGGCATGCGCTAATGCTAGTAAGTATATATATACATAATGAAAAGTGTTATTAATTGATGAATGTGATGATATAGATTTGAATGCGGATAAACCTTACAAGTGTCCAGTCAGTGGCTGTGATAAAGCATACAAAAATCCAAACGGTCTCAAATATCATAACCAACATGGCCATTGTAATCTGATCAATGATGACAGTGAAAGCCTTGCTTCTAAGCCATACCAATGTACAATTGGCGATTGTGGTAAACGTTATAAAAATCTCAACGGTTTAAAGTATCACATCGAACACTCACACATGGCTGCTCTCAATCAAACTCTGGCCTCCTTTGGCAATTCCTTATTTTCTTTACCATCATCGTCCACCTCACCTTCATCATCATCATCATCATCACCATCATCTGCTTCTTCCTCTACATCCTCTTCACCTATGTTAGGCGCTGCACCCATCACATTCAGTCTCGATAACCCAAGTATTTTCCCTTTGATCTAAAAGGACTTTATGTGTAATTCGCATCCCTTTCCCTTGTAAAGCATATTCCATTTACTTTATCTGACCCTTCTCTATTTGTTATTTATTCTTATATATTATATATACACAGTCATTCCACTCCCAGTTTGTGGATTTGATCAAAAAAGTTCGCTACCCAAAATTTAATGAAAACTGAAAATAAAATAGAACCGAAATAGGATTCTACGTGCAGCCTTTTTTTTGTTCTTTACATTAGAGCTTTTTCAAATCAAGGATGAATGATCTACACTGCTTAATTGACCATCTTGAGATGTGTTTGAAACAGCACTTTTGTGAAGCGCTGTAGATGATTCAGACAAAGATAATGGCTGCTCCAGTGTCAAAAAAGGCAACTGGTAGAGCTACCAAGTATGAGGACTACAAAGCGATGTCAGTAAGTAGTGACTACCGCCTTCAAAATTTAGGAAATCATACGGTAAATATAAAAAGCACGCACTCCTCATGCACTTCTCAATGAATAGGCAACGCTATCATATTTACTCTACAAATACTTTATGAGATTACTTTAGGAATGAGAAATACAAAAAGACTGACTACAAAACACGCTCATTTAACGTATCATGTCCATTTCACATTAGCCAAATAATCCTATTTACATATAAAGTGATGTTGTTTTTAACAATGAAATTATTTTATTTCGTCATAAAGAGATTATGTAGAGACTGTCCGGCATACGTCTATACTTCTTGTTTATTATTATTGCAATTATATCACAAACCTGCGTCTTTTCTGATACTGCAAACACATTATTACGAAACATTGTCAATTGTCATTGCCGTTCTTTTGCATTGTGTAAGCTCTTGAAAGAAAGAGGGAGAATTGACAGCAACTATGCTTGACTCAAATGAAGAGATAGCTGTCATCTTTATTGAAGCAATTGACCTACATTTGTAAACATATCTCCCTTTTTTGTCCTTCTGGTAGTTTATCAATAATATATTTTACTTATTTCATCCATATATTCTAATCTGAATGTGTTGTAAAATCCTCTCAATAAAGAGATTGAACGTGTCACGACAGTAAACATGACAGTTTACTTGTTGAGCAATTTTTTTAGATGTTATCGTCGGCCTTAAGTGGTAATAGCGGCGCTTCAGGCAAGTGTAGATCAATTTAGCTTAAAGTTTGAGATCCAAACCATGTTGACTAATACATCGAAATGAGACAGGCAACTATGTTCATCATGCCTACAGATTGGAAGTGGAATGACCGTATATGCCCTTTTGTTCTTAAAAAGTATTATTACTGACAAAAGCCTTTTTCATACACTCTTCGCGCTGTGATTAACAAACATTTAATGACTTTGCTTGTGTTCTTTTACTTCTGTATGCGTGTCTGCAGTTGCCTCCTAGTGATAATGATTTGTCGTTCCATGAATTAAAAGTCAAAAATTCAAGCAGCGAATTTTACCACGCATCGTGACACCAAAAATGGGGCTCATTCTTGGCACCAGCATTAGCAGATCCATATAATACTGATGTTGCTAACCAAATCAGTAAAAAGTATCCAGCAAGAACACGCGCGTCATGAACACTAGCCTTAATGCGCCAATCTTAAAATAAAACTTTGTGCTTGGCCTTGTTTTTATTGTGGATAGTCAAGCGTCAAGGAACGTTTTTTTCTCTTGTATATTTCGTGTCGAATCCTGAGGGCAAGTCGGTCTGTATTTCATTATAGTTCTATAAATAAATACTTCAACAAGTCTGTATCCTTGGTAGAGTTAAAGATACACTAAGGGAAGGTAATAAAGCGCTTGCTGTACAATTTACCCTTCCTTTTTTTTTTTTCAGAACTTCTCTTGGATGACTAGTGCCAAACAGAGCGAGATAAGCCCACTTCTTTTCCTAATATGAGTGTAGGTATTGCTGTATTAGCATTAGCTGGAACGCCTTTTGAATTCCTGGTAGCCAATTCTTTGAAAGATGAAGAGTCGCACTACTATTCTCGTATTTCTATAAAAGAAAGTTATGAATGAATACAAGGAATAAAAGGAAAAATAGAAGTTTACCAGTGTGATATATATCATATTTTCCCTATAAATATCTTATGGGATAACTTTAATCTCTATTTTAAGGATAAATAACACAAAGGATAACTATAAAACGTAACATACCCACTTATTGTTGGCTATATAAAAAGACACTGTTTGTAATCATGAACCTTCTTTCTTTTAGTCCAAAATAAAGACAAATACATACTTAGAGAAAAGAGTCGTTTTTTTTTAGTTTAGATTGTGATCATCATACTTTAAGTGACCATCGTTAACGATAGATTCCAGTTGCCTTTGCTGGGATGCATGTAGATATCTCTTGGAACATAGTTGGTCCTGGGATCCATCCAGAACAAAGTTATCCATCAACAATTGCAAATATTGGCCGTACCTTACCTTGCAATGCCTAACGTCCAGTTCTTGACCTTCCTTCGCTCTACTTGGGGGTAATCAGTGAAAGATGAGAATCCTTTAACGCAACCTGGACCTCAAGAGGCGATCAGTTCCCGGGCTGCTTATCTGATTCTGGGCAATTATTGAATAGCAGAATAGATGAATGTTCAGAAGACACTTAGCTTTGACGTCGACTTCACAGGGATGCCTTTTGTCCAAGGAGTCTTGAGAGTCAAGAAGCCAAGTAGTAGAAATACGAAGAAAGAAAGATGCGGTAGTCTGAGAGGAAGAAAGTAGTTCTTTCAAGACATCATTCACCTTAATGAATTTTGGTCTTTTCACTTCCATGCTAACAATACCAAGCGGGGATACTGTTCCAAGTATGGTCATAGTCTTCGCTTTAGCCACTTCAGCTCTATTATTTTTCTTGGACCAAGCAAAGTTTTTCTTCATATTAATATGAAAAGCAGCTTCATCGATAAATATGCAATTCGTGAGATAGTTCATGCCGGCCTCCAATCATCCTTTTATCCATTCGTATCCTCTTTCGATATTCTCAGGTGAGTTCCTTTCTACTGAATGGAAATGCGTGCCTTCTTCAAACTAATTCTGCGCTTCTCTTTCATAAAGTTATATAGGAGAAGTTTAAGTAAGTAAACTTTGTTGTTAAGGTTTCCATTACTTGATCTAGTGTCAATGCTGGTCTCTCGTCGATGTAATCCATTAAAAACATTCGATGTTCCCTCGCCAAAGACTGCTGACCTCCCCAACATTGTTATTACCTGCTCTTCTCTGGATTACGCCGTGTAGTTAGCTCTGGTCTTTATCATACCAACCTTGAGCCGACTGCGTGAGGCATGCCTAATTTTTTTTTTTTTTTTTTTGCAGTTTGGGCTACTTTCATGTCCTTCTCGTATAAAAGTTAAAAAAAATACTCTTTATCGTATTATAGCAAAAGAGATTTTGGTAATGTAGATGATAAATACCCTCAGGTTTGATTTTATTTTCACTTCGATATCTCCCCCATCTTTTTTTTTTTTTTTTTTCACTCTATCTAGTGGATGATCAACAATTTCAACATGACAACGGTATTAAAAGAGTATAGAAAATGGTGTGCAAATGCGCAAACATTTGTCCGACATCCGTATTCTGTAAGTCATCGTTTTGTTTCATTTGCTTGTTAGCATTAGCTTCATAATGTATCAATTGGTTCTCAATAGTCCTTCGTCTTATGTTTTTCTTACGGCTTTCTTAGGGGACACCACACTCCCGACTCTTCAGAATATCAAAGATAGTAACAACCACTATTATTGATATTCTGAAGAGTCGGGAGTGTGGTGTCCCCTAAGAGACCTGATTTCTTTAAGGCTTGATATCCATACCTATTCATTTGTAAGATATTTAAATACAAAGGGGATAACGATCAAGTCAATGCCGTTTGGCACGTTGCGCGTTCTACAATGGATAAAGCAATCTTTGTAAAAAAAAAAAAAAAAAAAAAATGTTAAATATCCACATAATCTATAGACATAGGCTTAAGAGTAATCTAAATAATTCATGAGACAATCTTGTAATAAGAAACCTATATGCAAGTAATGGGCTCACTAAACCAAATACTGTGATTTTTAACAGGCTGCATTGTTAGGCTATGAGCGGGGCCTGTTGCGTGTACTTAGACCATGTGCCTCAAACGGTGATAATAGGCATCCAGCATTGACAACAAATCCATATATTATTCATATCAATCTTTAATCTTCCAAAAAATGCGGCTCATTCGTGATATTCACGTGCTTAATACGACCATAGGCAGCAGCAGGACGGAAAAAAGTTGGCCAACCTTCCAGCAAGGTCTTGTGTATACATTACAAGACTTTTTTTTTTACCTCCTGTTTAAAAAGCTCAAATCCTCGCTTTCAGATCACTACACAAACTTTGTCACAGCACAGCAGAGTCAGTCTCCATGGTATTTGACTGATTTGACGTAGTCGAGATATAATGGATACAGCACCTGAAAAGGGAGGAAGGGGTGCACATAAAAATCAGAGGAAGCACAATACATAAAGATAAAGTTGCAGATAGGGTTTAAATAAAATAATCAAAATTAACCACCAATGTCTGCATTAATCAAGGAGCAACTTTTTCAAAAGAGGTTTATTTATCTATGAGAGCGAGAGACAGTTGGCTCATTTAATGAAAAATCCAGTGACTAAGTAGATACTTGCTTCTCAATTTGAGATTTTTAGGACATACAACACTACGGAATCTTATGAATTATTTACCCGTAACCTCCATTATCAGCTAAGCTGTAAAAGGAACCTTGTGGCGATTTCGTTGAAGGGAGGGTTTTTGATGTACATGCCAGGTTATCGAACAATATACTTGTCTTTTTTTCCCTCTTTGTACGGCTCATCTTGCAAAAGATGTTCTATCATCTCATATGGCTCTGATTATTAATACATTAGGTAAAATTATGGCAAACAATAGACGGGGTTAAGTACGCGTAAAGACAAAAAAGGGGACAAAGGGAAAAATTAATTCGGGGGTAATTTTTACCGATGAGCGATTATTTAAGGCCGATCTTGTCAAGAAATTATGAGACAAAAAAAAAACTTTTCTTTTCTCATCATGTCTTACTCCAAAGCTTGCTGTTCTATCCCTCCTGTTGTCTCTGATTATAGCCCAGTAGGAGCTATGGAAAACCTGGGCGATCTTCCTTTATACACAGTGGGTCCCAAGGTAAAACAATACGGGATACAATGCATGCAGGATATAAACAAAACACTTAAACTAGGATGCTAAAAAAGCTGTTTTGGTCATATATGATATCTTTGCTCTTAAGTAAGTATTATATGCGCGTATGTGTCTGTGTTATTGACACTCATGTCTATTTTAGAAACAACACAAAGCAATTTTGTGATATCTTGGCTAAACAGTGTGGATGGAGAGTTGTCATGCCAGACTTTTTCCGTGGAGAAGACGCTGCCCGCTTTTTCGATAACGGTTTCGATCGTGAAGGTCTTGTAGCTTGGATTGGTCAAAAAGGCACAATAGAGACCGTAAGTTTTCTATTTTTTTCTGCAATGGTTACTAACCCATATTTGAACTAGATTGAACCTGATATTCAACGCGTACAAGACTATCTTAAAGAGCAAGGTGCTGATGCTGCTACTTTAGTAGGTTTCTGTTGGGGTGCCAAGGTAAGAAATGCTATGAAAAAGAGAGTGATGACTAAGACGTTGGACTAGATCGCTATTCAAATCACCGCCAAGCTGCCTTTCTTTGTCGGAGTCTCAATGCTCCATCCTTCATTTGTTGATCCTAAAGATGCAGAAACAGCTAATGCACCTATCTTGGCTATTCCTTCCAAAGATGAACCAGACATGGTAAGTTTTTGATTTTTTGTTTATTAATATCAGTTGCTAAATGTCTTATGTGCAGACCGAATATATGAGCATTCTCTACAAGAAGCCATTTGGAAATTTGTGTGAACACCACCGCTTTGATGATATGTCCCATGGTTTCTGTGGTGCTCGTGCCGATTATAATGATGAAAATAACAAGAAGAGAGCTACTGAAGCTATTCAATTGACTGTCAATTTCTTTAGCAAATGCTTCAAGTCTAAGGATGCTTCTTTGTAAATTGTAAATAAAGTTCATTATTATTTAAAAGCCCAGTTACATACATATGCATAAAAAAAAGAGAGAGAGAAGGGATGACGGTATCATTGTATTGCTTATACATAGTACATGCATCTCTGTTTTGTCGATTTGCTCCTTTTTGTTTTTGAAAAATTCATTTGGACTTATCAGAAATAAAGAAAACAAGAAACAGAGAGAGAGAGAGAGAGAAAGAAACAGAGACAAAGAAAAGCTAATTGTGTAGTGTTTATTCAAGGCTAGGCCTTCCATGAATCCTTACGCGACATAGGTCCGTATGCTCTCTGTTACCCCAATTCGATAACACTTGAACAAGCACCACGGTGAGATGCTTAGTTGATTCAAACTCAAACGTTTGAACGGATTGATGCTTATGAATATCATACTTAATGAAACCAAGCGTCTGCGCATGATTGGACTGATTGATATCCTTAGCTCCAAGGATCTGGATGTCTCTGGGAGCACTGCTCATATCGATCACTGTCTCTGGCAAGGGGTATTCAACAGTGATACCATCAATCATGATAGGCTGGGGAAGAAGAATGGCCAGTGTTCCGGAAGTACCTTGCATGGACCAGCATTCACCATGATGAACTGTAGGTTGAAGTGCTATTTCTGGCCCTGATCCTGATATTTTTTTGAGACCAGCGAAGCGCCGGGCAGCACGGACCCACGTTGGAAGCGGTCGGAAAGTCTTTGAAGTCATGAAGGGGATAACAAGCGCACCTTTCGACAGCAAGGCATAGTCAATCTTATCGTCAGCAGGAGGATGCAGCTTTTCGTACTTTTTGGTCAAATCATCAGTGGCAGTCTTAATATGACGAAGGCTATGCTTTTGTTGTTCAAGTTCAAGTTCATGCTCATCAATTTTGATTCCTTGTTCTTCAAGTTTAATTCCATGCTGGACAAGCAATTGGTTCATGAGATCAAATTTGTCATCGTACTGGATAAATTTGTTATTGATGATGTTTAGCTGACGTCCATGATCGTTGATCTTGAAGGTTTCCGATTTCTTCAACAGTTCAGCTATTTCAGTTGCATGCGAGTCACCAAAGATAGATGGAAGTATTCCAGTGGGCAGATGGGGGTAAATATTGTAAAGCAATGATACAAATAATGCAGTCGTAATGATAGATGTGATTCGATGGCGTAATTGGTTGGAAGGAGCCCATCGATTGAACAAGACTGACCAAATGAAAAGAGCGGGCGTCACCAGGAAGGTTGAAACAAGCATCGTGAAGAAGGTGATCGTTCGGATGATGGGTTCCTTGATAACCCAGTAGATCATGAAGAATTGAAAGATAATTGCTTCAAACCACTTGCTGAGACAATAACGAGTGAGTTCCATGCATGTCTTGATGTCTGTATCTGCTTGTGGAGAGGATGGTCTGATGGCTGTTGTATGGTTCCTTGATAGCATTTGCTCTCGCTTGTCTGTCACGAGTCTCATGGCTGCTTCTACTTCAGGGTGATCTGCCAAGAATTGCAACTCTTCAACGTAATCCAGGTCTTCAAACCCTTCGTCAACGTTTGTCTCTTCGTCGGTGTTGATCGTCTCGTTAGGCTGGGAGTTGAATGCGGAAGGTCGCCTGGATATGCCTAAAATAGGATAAATTAGAAACTTGTATAAACACATAAGAGCGCCTTTGTTTACTTACTTCTCAAGTCCATATCATTCCTTACCGCCTCGTGGTTGATGTTATTGATGTCCAGGATGTCCTCTCCTGGACTGTTGGCATCGGCAGCAGCCTCACTTCTTGCTGGTGACTGAGGAAAGGACTGCTGCCTTGAAAGAGGTGATTGTCTGTATGTGTTGCTTCCTCTTGGTCGAACCATTATTAATAAATATATATATATATAAAGAGAGAAAGAGAAATAAAGAAAAAGAGAAAGAAATGTTAAAGAAGAGGATGAAGGATAATGAATAAAAACTTTGATTATTTCAGATTCCGGTGCTATTATTATACAGTGAAGGAATTTATTTCTGCTTAAAGTGTCCAATCAAATGATGCTTGTAAACAAAGGTGGATTTCATTAGCAATGAGGAAATACCGCCATTTTTTGTATAAGCAACAAGTAATGTTCAAAGAGAGGGGGAGAAAACGCCACATTCATTACAACTTTACACGGTAACACACAACGCGATATTGATTGGTTAAATTTTTGACTTTTTTTTGGGCAAATAACGCGCGCGCGCAAGATTGAAATATGAGATCATTGGGGGGAATCCTTCTCTTTTTTTTTTTTTTTTTACTTCATTATGCACAGATCAACAGAACAACATATAAAGAGGACGAATGAAAACGATATTAAAGCTGAACAAAATGCACTAGTCTCTGCAAAAGCTAGAAGAGAATTTGGTGTATCTGATAAAAATATAAATACTCCCAAATTGACTCGTTCAGATTCATTTGGCTTGAAACCTAAAGCAAGCAATTCAATTGAAAAAAGTAAAAAGTACAATAAATAAAGAAAATCAAAACTAAAGCGTGAATGTAGATAAGGAAGAACAAAGCAAATCAGTGAAAAGAGAATTTGGTCTATCGGATAAAAATGTCAACGCACCCATATTGACTCGCTCAGATTCATTTGGTTTGAGAGCCAAGGATAGCAATTTAAAAGGAAAAGTCAAGACAACTGAAGACAAACAATCGTCAGCCCTTCCAACCAAGAGAAACAAAGGTATAGTTTATGCATTCTTTATTACTTTTTTTTTTTTTTTGTTAAACTTGTTTCCTACATATATAGATCCTGATGAAGAACTGACAACAATCATGGCAGAGGCACGTACTCAACGTCGTCGTGAAAAAGGTAGTCATTATAATCTGACCGAAGGAGAGACAGGATTAAATATGAATGATAGATATTGGAGATGACGACTGGGCACCTGAAGGACTTGACCTTGACTTTAGTCCATTTGGAGAAACGCCTTTGATGGAGCCTATTGAAAAGAATGTGTCAGCATCTAGTATGCAAAGCTTAATGAAAAAAGTACTTCAAAACACAGAAGAGGAAGAAGAAGAAAGCGTGTTGAATTCTGATCTACAGTCTCCAAAGCTTGTCGATTTCCCTGACACTGTCGAATATGGACCACCCAAAGAACAAGAGTTATTTGATCCCCCTACTGCTCAAATTGATCTATCTCACTTTAGTGAGTTTGTTGCTGATTCAGATCCGCATTATTATCCCAGTTTACCTAAAGAAGATGTCTATGCTGAATTGAAAGCAGCCATTGCTGAGGTCCCAGATTTATTTGACCAGTTGGCTACTGATGATGCACCTGGTAATGTGTAAATATATACAACTTTATAAAGCTTGCTAATTTATTCCACTGTAGGGTTGTTCGAGGACGTGTTTGACGAGTTTGATTTAGGTTTTGCTCAAGAGGAAGACGATGAATTAACAGAAGAGATGCGAAACCCATTCCATGATTATCAATTTGATATTGAACACTTTATTAAGCACAATCCAGGAGCCGTACATAATCCAGACATCGTCATTCCAGGAAGCGTATAATTCATTTTACAATTGTACACAAACACAAACACACATTATATATATATATATATATTTCTATGCATCTGCATTGTATACATCATGTCGATAAAAACCATGCGCTTAAAATAAAAAAAAATCATAAAGGAGTATCTGTATTTATGAGAGACTAGACCTTTGAAATATGAATATACACACAATCCACCACCAAGACAAAAAAGGAGTATGTGTGCGGGGGGATCTATATTTATTAATAATACCAATACACAAATACATACAAGTTTATTTAGGAACCAACACGCATCGAGCTTACTCTCTTTACTCTAGCATCATCCTGTTGAGTCTGTTCTTTTTGAGTGGATGAAAAATCAAGACAGTGTTTAGGGAATACGCCCTTTGCATTATTACGACTCAGGTTGACGCCTTGGCACCAGCCATCGTCATACTCTACCAGGACCTCAACCTGGTCTCCAATCTGAATATCAATCTCATCACTTAATGTTGGCGAATAAGTAGCCACGACGGTATATACGCCCAATGACTGCTGTGGTTCTTTTTGTGCTAAAGGAGGAGGAGGAGGAGCCAAGGGCTGTAGCTGAGCTTGATATTGCTGAGAGGAGACGAGGGTAGGTGATGGGTCATTGAAACTTTGATGTGTGGGCGAAGTCATTTGTTGCATGGCAGGTGGATTATCATTACTGTATCCGACCGTGAATGGATCCGAACTGTTATTATTACGAGTCATTATCGTCTTTTTTCGTCGGTTACGGAATACTAAAAGGGCAGCAACACCAGCGATGACGGCAACAACGGCGACGACAATGCCTCCGATGGCACCACCGGATAGACCGCTATTGGATCCAGTCTCGGGAGCAGCCGTAGGTGTAGCAAGTGTGGTGGGTTGAGTGGATGTAGGAGATGGTGCTGATACAACCATGGGTGTGTGTGCTGGAAGAGCAGTGGATGAACTAGCAATGGATGAAGCTGTGACAGATGACGATGGTATGAGGGATGCACTCGATAGTGTTGCTGTTGTGCTTGTTGGTTTCTTTGTCGTCGTCCTTTTTTTTGATGTTGTAGATTTTTTAGTTTGTGTATTATTAGCAAAATGAATCGTCTTTTCCTCGGTTTCTTTTTTCGTTGGTTCTGCTCTCTTATTCACCTTCCAGAGGTGAGGTTTAGCTTCGACGGTTATAAATAATAAACTGAATAATGTAGTCCAGCGCATGATCAATTATATAAAATACACAAAACGAGCGAATATATAAAATGAGAGAGAGAGAGAGTAAAAGGATCCTTTTGTTTAGAAAAGAAAAAGAAAACTATTGAAAAAGGAGAATACAGGATATAAATTTACTATGAATACACTGTTACACGATCATTTAATTCGTGCTACAACTTTGTATTTTTGTTAGATCAATACCAAAAGGGCATCTTTTATATAAATTAAAGAGATGGGCAATTTTTATTATCTTTACTCCTTTCTCATCTATTTTTCATCTCTCACTCTTTTTTTTTTGAATAAGAACGTGTAATTCTTCATGCAAAAAGCCATGTTTGACCCTTTTTTTTTTGCATGTTCAATATACCACGTATTGACACTGCAGGTTCAATTTTGTACACAATGACAATGATCGCCAGTAGCATTGCGCTAAAAATAAATCATGGTAACGGGAACTTGTACAGTAACAGACAGTCAATAGGCTCGTTTATTTGAATATGGCAAACAAAGACAAAGAGGGAAGAAAGAAAGATACTTCAGTTTATATTATTGATCTTCTTTGGTAAGTGTGAGTATTTCTTCATATAATACTATTCTTTTTTTTTCATATATATTTTTCGCTCTTCATACGCAATATCTCTTTTCAATTGCTGTATTTTTTTTTTTCCAATGAACAATAGTCTGTTATTCTGATGTTTGCAAGCCGTTTCATCCATTAAATTATCCATGTCGTCAAAGTTCTAAGCAATTCAAAAGATTGATCGTTACGTTAAATTATAAGTTTTATTATTACATCCGATAAACGTTAGGGAAACACAACATGCACCAGAAATACACTGGAAGTTAGCCTAATTTTACGAGCGCTACCTCTACCCATTATCTATGATATCACCTAACATAGCTTTTCAAGCATGGCGCCGCGCGAGTGCGGATAATTTTGGTGTACATTTTGGCCAGGACTGCTTTTCATCAGCATACAGCTTTTTTTTGAAGTACTAAAAAATGTCGGCAAACACTTCTCTTTTCCCTATCTACTATCGGGGGATTGTGTTTTAAATTTGATGTTTAGCTTACTTGTTCTCTGGCTTTGTTTTTTGATATGTCTTTCATTGGTGGCTTGGTCTTGGTTAACTGATGCACTGAAACAACAAAAAATTGTTTTAAGCTTGTTGTGTGGGATCTCAGGATTACAACTGTATCAAAATGAAAATAGCTTCTATGTGATCAAGGTTGTCCAACTGTTGCTTGGGTTCACTATCATTCTTCAGAGTTACAAAAGTGAAATTGCATGAAGACCTTTAAAAATATCTAGTCTTCAAAATACACTAAAACATAACAATATTGAGTGTGTGCTGAAGTGAAATTCCCTTAGTATTTCTGTCTTTCAATAGACCACCACTGACTTTAAGTGGCTATTTCCTTTATTTAAAAAATAAACCTTGGCTAAAAACGCCCCTAGGTCATTCCATCTTCAATCTTCTCGTTACCACTGCTATTCGAAAACGTGCATCTATAGGCTTCCAAAAGCTCCTTTCTTTGGGCAGCAGAAAAATCCATAGCCACACCAAGGAAAGACTTTCTGTATATACCAAAGTACTGAAAGAACGCTTCAAAGTACTTCTTTGGAAAATGTCTATTCAAGGCCATCGATGATAGCTTGAAAGATTACAAGATGCTTCTTCAAATGTGAGACATAAATTACGCTGGAGCAGAGATAGTAGCTGTCCTTTACAGCCTGCTAAGTGGCATCGGTCACGATGGGTTGAGAGCTAAGTAGCAACTCAAACTTCTTCATCTCAGGAGAGCAAAATATGACACAGAAAGCTTGTTTTGCAACTTCCGCAGACGAAATGAAGCCTTCATATACGTCCGCAGTCTTTTCGAATTCTCCAAGAAAACCGGTGCGAGAAGAAACACCCATCCTCTGCTCGGCATTGTTCAATTCGTATTTTGCACAGTCCTTGTTGATCAAGATCTTGCCTACAGAGTTGTATATAGAAGGAACAACTTCCCCAGTTCTGGATGAAACTCCAACAACAGCCTTGCTGGATTTGACGTGAGGATCTTTATCAACTTTCTCATCAAGACAACACTTCCCTGCAACCGTCAGATGCTTAGGCAAGTATGTGCTGTGGCTATGCTTTCCGTTGAGCACCATTTTATACTTTCCGTCACCGAACTTAAAGTTGACCGTAACGGTGCAAAACCCTCTTTCCAACTTGGAATCGCAAATAAGACATGGTTGCTTCGCAATATCCTTAAGAGCGAAAGGCCTGCGATCGATTTCATAAAAGGTACATTCAGGGTTGTTACAGTATACAGACCCAAGACACTTTTTACGAATAACACGAGTACGCTTGCCCTTTTTACGCTCTTTGCTATATGTTTTCTCTAAGCACCACCTAATGTCAAGGTTAACGCCAACATATTCGCCCTCTTCTTCACTGTAAAGAGCTACAGACTCTTCTGTTACATCGCCATCAGAAAACTAGGCGATAAAGTGGATAATGGGCTCATGTTTTATTTTTGTTAAAGGTTAAAATACACAGTAAAGTAACTTTGAAAAAAAAAATGCATTTTATTGGTGACTTAAAAAGGTACACCAAAATTATCCGCACTCCATAGTCAAGTAAGGGAACTCATGCAATAGTCACAGTGCCTACAATAAAAACGAGCACAAACAGGATATTGTCTAAGCTTTTTAAAGGCACTTCTTGATGAAAATGGGCGAATATTCAGAAATGAAAGAATTTTACCTTGTCATGGATAATGCTCCTATCCATAGCTCGACTGATATAGAAAGGTATATTCACTCTCGAGGATATCGACTTGTATATCTTTCTCCATATTCACCTGAAATAAATCCAATTAAACAGTTCTGATCAGTTGTCAAAAGTAAAGTGAAGCAAAATAAGTTTCTGGAAAAAGAAATACTGATGACAATAATTAGTGAAGTATATGATAGCTTATTTAAGTAACTTCCAAAGTTTTGTTTCTCATTCTGCCAAGTGTTTTGGTAAATGCCTCAATAAGGAAAGGCTAAGAAGATAAATTGGTCATTGCAGAGAGAAAAAAAGAATGAGGGCAAGTATAATACGAATTGACTACTTTTTAATGGTAACTGTAAGACAGACAGGAAAATATATAATCATACAACGGGCAAGATGATGATGATTAATGGCTATAATAACTAAAAATTACCTTTCGTTTGCTTGAGATTTTGGTGTCAATTTGTGTTATAGGATTTTTGGTATAGTCATGGTTATCGTCGTTTACTACACGCTAGAAGCAAGCAATGGATTTGATAACCTTGTTCAATTGCGATATGAAGAGCGGTACTTGCTCAAGGCTGAATGGAAGTTGGTATGAACAATTTCACACATGGTATAGAGATTGGCTTGGGCGTGATTAATGATGTAGAACGTGGCATCTTACCTATGTGACAATACAGAATGAGTACCTTATAGTCCTATGGAACATAATGAGCACTTTTACCAACTAAAAGGAAACCAAAAGCAGATTTCAACTTGTGTTTAGCCGAAACATCTTTGTATTGATAAAATTTGCTCGTATTGTTGTATTTGGGTTTGGATAGATTTAAACAAAGTAGAAAATACAATATCGTGGACACTACACGTATAAAACTAGCTTGCTTTTCTTTCGCTGAAGTTTTGCTTTTTCTTTGGTTATTTCTTTTTTAAGTTAAGTCTTGTTGATTGGCTTGGCCCGAACAAGAATAATAAAATGCCCGCAGGAGTCAACACCTTTTAGTGTATCTCCGTCAGTAAAGACATGAAGATATGTAGTTTGCTATTTGCATAATATACGGCATAAGTAATTCGATTTGCACAACAAACAGCATATTTATCGCCTTTACCTTATAAATACATCATCTTAATGTTACTTGAAAGAAAAACAAGAAAGGCTGACCACAAAACGCGTTATTCTTATATAACGCGTCATACTCAATTCTCATTAGCCGTGATAAGTTCATGCAATAATCCTGTAATATTTGAGATCTCTTTAGTTGTGACCTTAATAGAGGTTATTACAGACTCATCAACATACACTTCCCTGGTGCTTTAGTGTTACACATACTGTTGCGTAGATGTGGTGTGTCTAGTACTGTTTGCTGTGCAAATTGAATTGCTTCATTGACACCACTATCATAATCTAAAATACGAAGATTTTGCGTAGAAAACTCTAAAAGAGCAGGAAACTTTGGGCTTACATATGCCTTCCATGACTTTTTATTATATAAAAAAATGCTCTTTAACTACAGCAAATATCTTGATTCAAACTTGTTTATCGATTTCATAGAAAGAGACTGATAACCCTAATTATCTTGAAATATTTTCGTAGTTGATTAGTGTAAGAGCAACATGCAGGTTTAGGAATTCTCGAGAGACCAGAGATGATCGACCAACTTTCAGAGTTTATTAGTGTTGTAGATTCACAAGCATTCGCTATAATCATCACATGAATCGTGAAGACACGGATGATTAGATGAAGAGATAAAGGAGAGATACGAAAAATAGAGAGGATATAAAGATAAGCTATTTAGAATACATGTTGGAATATCGGCAGACATCTCGGTTATTGTCCTAGTTCAATACAAGACACAGTTACACTGATAACTAATATGTTTATTTTTGTTATTATTAGGAGACTATTTACAATAATTATATGCGAATAAAATAATGATGAGGGGGGATATGTCTAAATTAGAGCTTGGTTTGATCAATCACGACAGATTCGTTACTTGAACCAGCAACATTACGCAATTCAAGGTTGGCTTGATAGTTTTCTTCAAATTCATCAAGATCACGGCCCTTGGATTCAGGGATCCATAAGAGAGTGACAATAAGACCAAGGAACATGACAGCAGAGAAGATACCAAGTACTTCGGGTAAGAAAGTGTGAGCACCCTTAGGGCCTCCAACATCGACCAAGACATTGAAAGCGAATGAAGCGAGGATAGCACCGGCCTTACCAGAGGCAGCAGAGATACCGTGAGCCGAAGCACGGACCTTGGTGGGGAAGACTTCGCCAGGAATAATAAAGGTGGTTGAGTTGGCACCAAAGTTTTGGAAGAATTGGGCAAGAGTGAACAAGAAAATGAAAGCACCGATGGCGTGTTCGACCAAGAGATGGTAACAGCCGGCGAGGATGGCAAAAACGACGGTGGTGATGGCGAAACCCATGATTTGGATGGGGCGACGACCCCAACGCTCAATAAAGAAGACAGTAAAGTAGTAACCGGGAACAGAACCAAGACAGGTAATGATGATTTGACCGACAGTGTTGTACCAAAGAGTTTCAAAGGGAGTAGATTTGTTGGCAAAACCGATAGAAGCCAAGACGATAGAGTTGTTCAAACCAAGACCGTAGAAGGCGACATCAAGCAAGAACCAGGAAAGAGCAGTACCGAGAAGGACTCTGAAGTGCTTCCATTGACTAAAGTAAGCTCTGAAATCAGCCCAGTGATCACGCTTTTCTTCAACACGAGTGTATTGTTCAACAAGTTCAGGAGAGGCAGATTGACCTTTGGCAGCAGCAGCAGCTTCAACATCGTGTTCAACATTAAGAGAATAACGAGGAGATTCGGGCATTGTGAAACGCAAGTAGATGGTGGCAACGGCAGGAACAGCGCCCAAACCGATACAGAGACGCCAGACATAGTCCAAATTCATGACATCATCATTAATGGCATTTTTAAAGATGGCCAAAAGGATCAATGTGACGATAGCAGCAGCCAAGTTTCCGATACCTTGCATAGAGAAAATAAGGGCCATCATCATACCACGCTTACCAGCGGAGGACCATTCAGAAGTAATTGTTGCAGACATAGGATAATCACCACCAATACCAATACCCAAAATTAAACGCCAGAGACCGAGAAAACCCATGGCAGAGACACCACGGATAGCAGAAGCAGAAGTTGCACAGTTGATGGTACCAATGATGATGATAAGTAATTCAAAACCGTAGATCTTACGACCCAGGATGTCACCGAGGAAACCAAAGAACAATTGACCGATCAATGTACCAACACTAGACATACCCTTAATAATACCTTCAATATCAGAAGGTATCTTGTTATTGTTGTGAGCGTAGTAGACATAACCAAGCATAGGAGTAACCAAGTTGATGATAAAGACATCGTAAGAATCAGTAAAGAAACCAGCGCCTGAAGTAAGAATAGTACGAGCAGTAAACCAGTTCCATCCACCAGCACCTGAAGTCTTCACATCATCAAGCTTTTCTAATGAGGCAAGTCGACGTTCGGCAGCAGCAATTCGCTCTTGTTCTATTTGATCTGCCATTCTTTTGTTGTTTAAAAAAAAAAGGTAAAGAAAAAGGGAAAAGAAGGAAGAATTAAAGTATTTATAGAAAAGAAGAGAAAGGACAACCCGAGGTTTATATAAAGGATTTTGTTTGGTGATGAACCATCAAGTGAGGTCGTGTGAGTTTATTTCATTGGTGTTTAAAGACTGTAAAAGAGTCCACGCGAATATATCAATTCATATGATTGGATAATTACCGGGGATAGACATCTTTCGGGATATCAATTATTTTTTCTGTTTCATTGGTTATGAAAAATAGACTTAAACGTGTAGATATTATACATCGTTTATTGGCTTGAATCGATACAACCATATAAAGGCCTGTTGTCTTCTGTATTCACGAGAAATTGGTGACCAAGGCAAGTGTTTTACTCTTATATTGTTTCTCTTTCTCTTGGTTACCATAGTAAAATAGCCACAGTAAATAAAAAACAATAATCGTGATCCACTGAAGAGATGAATTGATTTAACCAATAAAATAAATGCATAAGAAAAGAAAGGACAAAATCTGATATTTGATTGGATAAAATATCTTGGTCTTACAATAAATCAAAAGATTCCCTTTTGGCAAATGCTCGTCAACTAAGAATTCTAATGGTTCCATGGATACAAACGAGTGACATTCTAAATCAAGAAAAATTATCCCCTTAATTCACCATTTTGGTATATTAATAATAAAGAAGACGTACACACACAAATAAGTGTATTCAAACTGATAAGATTGTTCTTACGCCATCGCCAGTAAGAACAATGTATTGTATTATATTTATCAAGCCATCTTGATCGGTGCATACTAATAATGGCACAACGTCTACATGATCCTGTGCAACCTATCATCGTTCGTTTTAGGTGCAGGTGATGATTGAGCTTAGAGAAGACCAAAATAAATGACCCGAGTTATTGATCTACTAAGCAAATATTACAAAGCATTTTTTTTTCCTTTGCCTCGGCATATCTTTAAAAGATTTCCATCGATGTATTTGAACATCAAGAGCTAAAGACTGTTCTTGGCAGCAGTAACTGGGTCATATGCACCATCACTGTTGTATCCCTTTCAGTGCTGCATAACTTCTAGTTAAGTAAGGCATGAACTGCGACAATTTAGGTCATGTTTACGATGTTAAACATTTTGTATTTTGTATTTTTTTTTTTTTTTTGGTGAGCTTGAGAATGTAGTATTAATCCTGCAGCACCAAGAAATCTGGCAATTAGATGATTCCAGAATTATGGACACAGTTGCTTATACTAGGATTAAAGCGCGATTGCGATTTTCCTTTTTCAGCCGCAAGCGGAGGCATGATTGTATTAAACCTTGAACACGTCCAATAGTAAGCTTATCAAGATCATTTGAAAGCGCTTCCCTAGTTTCACCATGTCGTTTCATATTGATTTTCTTTAGTCATCATTTGACTGTCTTAAAAACGCTTGAAAGTAATACCAAAGGAAAACAACAGACCAGATATCATGTACTGATTTGCTCTTTTTGATGTTGTAAAGGAACATACTGTATGCCAACCTAAAGAAGTTGTTATCGATGCAGAATGGTAATGTATATCTCGGCTGACAAAGACACGTCTACGATTCTAATAGCGAACCAAAGCCTGGAGAATAAGGTCAAGTTGAAGCGAATGTTGATACGACTTTTGAAATGTACTTTTACTGTCTACTATAGAATTAGAACATAGATACATCGCCATTGTTCAGTCATTGTTGCTGCTTTAGCTCCGTTTATGCTCTTTATGGAGCGTCGTAAGTCTTGTTTTACTAAGCTTTCAATAATAGCTTTGAAGGCTATTTCATAAAGAGATATTGGGCAACAGATACTAACTTTTCTCCAAAGTTGTCAGTTTCTACGATCAACTTGCTCATGGCAGCTTAATTATTGATTAAATTGTATATTTCATGTAAGTTTTCATTAAACAATGTTTTTAGTATTTCCCAAGAATATATGCCACTTCCAATCCAACCTTGGCTGCCTCCATTTCGTCGTTATTGCGCAAATCTTGATAACCATTCTGTTCTGTGTGATTGCCTTGATAATGTGCTAGTTGGCAAACAAAAACTTGTCACAGGTTTTATTAATCCTATTATTAATCCATTCTTTCATCACTCTGACGATGGGCAAGAATTTTACCCGTGAATTTTACTAGCCTAGAACACGCCGCCGAGTTACTCTCGCTTCAATGGGGGAGTTTTATTATCAAGATGGAACCTCGTCCTGATGGCGGCATGTTCATTCAGGAACAGAGACACGCAAAGCACGCAACTGAATAATTTGAAGCGATGGCCAAGGATAACGAAGACGATGTCTACCGTTCGTCAATCTTTTTGCAAGAGCGTACTATGTATTGACATTGTCAATGCAACGATTGTAGTTCAGTTTGTTAAATCCATGTAATTCATCAAATAGTGTAATCAATCCATGTTTAATTTATTTACAATGGAATCGACAGCACAATAAATCGTGTTCGAATTGGAACGGATGAATGCATATTTAATTTTCCTCCAGATTGACACGTCTTATCTCGAATATGGACTTTTGTAGGAAACGATCTCTCATTAGATCAAGCACTTTACTAGATTCTTAGGGAGGCACAACAAAAATCCTATCTTTGGTAGCTATATCTTTTTTTTTTAGAAACCTTTATTTGAATATATCTCTTAATACTAATATTTTACAAAGATGTTAAACATGAGTAATTGCTATAAAAGGACAATATAAGCTTAAGAGAATATCGCACTTACGTATTCAAAGCTAAAGTGTAAGCACCATCACTAGATTTGGTAGTAGTGCCTCGTAGCTCATTCAATATAGTTACCGCTTAAACTTATAAGCAACCTGAAGATCTTTGCTCTCATTTCACTTAATTAAGGTCAAGTTAGTTTCATCTGCTTCCAAATCAAGACTCTTAGATTTAGAGTTGTATCACATGTTGCCATGAATATTTAACTTGCTAAAATTTTGCTCATTATTGAGATCATCTTTTACACTTGAAGGTCAACCTTGTTTATACGAACTTTTTTGTAAGAGAGAAATATATCCAGATACCAGTTTAGTTTCGATGAAGCGAGTGCATCCCCGGTTTGATATCGAAGATGAGACTATGCCACGCTTCTTCCATAGTGATTACTCATGCTTATATGTGTGCAAAGAATTGGTATTAAGAAATATGTTCAAATAAAGGTTCCTGTAAGGGACATCACTATCAAAGATAGTAAAAGCGACTACTATTCAGATTTCTAAGGTTCGAGAGTGTGGTATCTTATAAGAGCCTTTTATGGTTTCTCTAAGGAACTTCTTAAAGTTGCACTATCGCTTAATAAGCTATTTCTGTTTGATTTAGGGTTTTCTGTGCTTCAGTATGATTTGCCGCCGCATGTGGATGTTGATGTGATTTACTGTCTGTTTCAATGATGCAACAAGGCAATTTAATTCAGTGCTGTATCGTCTACGGCGTTGTTTGTTTAAAAAGTACTCTGTAATAAGGACATATTCTCCGTATACAGACATCTTTGGTAATTCATTTGCTTTTTGCTGCTCCTAACAGAATGAAGAATGGTTTAGGCGGCGTTAGATGAAGAATAAGTAATGCACAAAAAAAAGGGAGGGACTTCTTTGAATATTTATCCTTTTCCACCCCCATCGATCTATTGGCTGATCTTTATTGTGTCTTTTCAATAAATTATGACGTCTTTAATGTAAAAGTAGGAAGAGTAGAATAGAGCTATGATTAGCTTCAACTGATGTGTATTTATTATAAAAGGTTTTATCTTAAAATTATACTTGTAAAGTTAACAAAGAAAACAATAAGCTTTAATAATTTTTATTATGATACATTCCTTTTTTGTTCATAAAGTAGTCGCGCGAGATGGTTACCCATATTGTCCGAAAGAGGGGGGGGGGGCTGTGTCCATGCACAGACTGTCATTTAAACTTTGGTAAAGGGGGGGTGAAATGTAAGCAGTAAAGATGTTAAGTCAACCCCTTTTCTCTTTATTATTCTCTTTCTCTTTCTCTTTCTCTTTATAATAAATGATAAAGTATCTATAATTAACTCTATTTTTGACCCAACTTGGTATCATGAACCTAAAAAGAAGAAATCGGAATTGTACGATAGTGATTTTACCTCCTTAAACCTTTGTGTATGTGTATTTGACATCACTTTGAGAATATAAACAATACAGAACTTACCATCCTTTCTTTCTCTTTTCTTATTTTCGTTTCTTTTTCATCATGCCTATCACTATCATTTCTTCTACTCAGCCAGACGGAGGAGAACTGGCAGCAAAGCTAGTGTCACTCTTTTCATCTACAGTTCTGTCAGTCTTGTATGGAGTAAAGACATATAATGTCCAATTTAAGTATTTATCTTACTCGAGATGGCTTATATTGCTTCTTTATATCCTTTCATGGGCCTTTACAGTAATGAGTATGTTGCTCGTTACTACAAACAATGGTAAATTCAAATAAAATTTTAAACAAAAAGGCTAAAATGGCAAAAATTTTCAGGCAACTTTACATCCTGCTTATTATCCGTCTTGGTCTGTGATATCCTTTACTGCGCGACCAAGATCGTAATTTATGCATGGTAACTTTATTTTCCTCTTGTCTTTTTGAAAACGCTTATTCATTGCCTTATTAGGTTGATAGAGAAAATCTATGTCGTTTCAGCTACACGACAGAGCCGATGGAGTAACAAATCCTACAGATTCAACTTGGGGTTATTATTACCTTATATTGCGATCTTCGTGTTGATGGTAAAATATCATTCATTATCAACAAAAACTAATGGTTTAGATCATATATCATAGAGCCTATATCGAACCCAATGGATACTGTATCATCGGTATTGCTCCTGCTGGAACCGTTCCATTGATTGTAAGCAAATGATTACACTTGTTTAAGCTTGTACTCATCATTTTCTTTCTCCTTTAGATTTATGATTTTGTAAGCGTGGTTTACTGTTTCACCAAAATCAGGTTTTAATTTAATTATATAGGCGATCAACCTTTACATGACCGTCTTCTTCGTTCGACCATTACTAAAACTTGGTGGTCTAGGCATCTTCAGTAGCTCAGCCAACTCTCGGCTTCACGAAGTCGCCCTTCGTACCTTGGTCGCATCCGTCGTCTGCTTAGTTGTATCCTTTGCCAACATCCTCTCGCTGATCATACTTGACGGCAGAGAACGTGGCTTGCTTTGTATGACTTGCTGTACAATGGATGTCACAATAAACGTCATTACTGTTCACTGGGTCACTAGCCAAGCACCTGGAAAGCGCAGCAAGGAGACAGATGCACAAGGCACACATCTCTCAGAAACGCACGAACAAACCATGTACAGAAAGGAAGAACAGGATGTCATTGAATTCAAAAACATCGGCTTGAACGTGTCTTATGAAAAGACACCAGTTGAGGACGATCACTCTTCTACAGAGGCTGGTGGATTTGCTCCTTCCTTTCAAGAATCTCAGACGAGTCGCAAGACATTAACGAAATTATAAGTCCCTATAAGATTTTTATGCTTAATCATATGCCTCTCACACTAATAAATTATTCGACCCCCCCCCTTATTATTTCTGACACGCACCCTTTGTCGGCTGTGTTCTCCTTTTTTTTTTGAGCTGCAATTTCTTTAATTTCTGCAATTTTAATAATTCTGCTGTGAGTTCCTTCAGGGTTATATTCTTTTTTTTTTATCTCCTTGTTTTTACACTTCTCTTTTGGTTTCAGAATCATCAGGACTCCTTTTCTTATAAAACTTCTTTTTTGTGGGGGGTCCATAGCCTTCTTTTCACAGAAAAAAGAAGAACGTATCGTCATTCTCCCTGGCTGTTTGTTTTCAGTAATGGTTATGAAAAGGAGTGATATGAAAAGGGGAGAATACTTAGTATACCTTTGCCACTCCCTTTTCGCATCTTGATTAGAGGCATTGAAATAAAGTTGTCAAGCTGAGCACATCTATTCAAGGAGAAAATAAGGTTTTATACTTCTTTTGGATGTTGGGGAGCAGGTCCATCATCATAGAATAGGGTCATAGTAGATCGCTTTCTCGTAAAAAAGAAACCATAATGGCGATCTATCTTATTATAATGAAGCATTATATATTTCAGAAAATGACAGCATTTGACTCTTTATATATTTGATCAGAAAAACTGGCAATGTATCACGAGACACTACTGTCAACCAGCATCTGTTGACATATACAAAAGCTTAGTGCATGAGTAGCTAAATATAAAAAGTTACTTGAAAGGTTTGATAAACTTGTATATATCTAGTATATGCAGTTTTGTATCCCACAGTATGTAAAAAATAAATCTCTTTTGAGATCCAATGAGCGCATTATTGAAAATAAAGAGGAGTCTATATAATGCATTCAAGACATTTCTCTTCTGTAACGCTTGCATTGTCAAGAAAAGCTGCTGGTTTATGTTATGGTTAAATATAGTAACAAAGCTAAGCCCGCTTGTAACAAACATACTCTTTTCTGTCAAAATATCCGAAGCTATTCACTTTGATATATGTATACATTAATTATACAATATCATATAATAACGAAACCAAAGACTATCAGCAAGCCTTTATCTTTCTATTCGACTTTTCTATGCTCTATTTACCTTGGTGATGTGTGGTTTGACAACTTATAAGCCCCAGAACTCTTGCCGAGATAAACAGAGTACAGAGTCAAATGACCACACTTTCAATTTAAAAGAAGCTGGGGTCTCTGGTTTGATGGCTCTTTCCCGTTCAAATGATACTTTTAATTGTACAATACATCCAGCAACTGCTAATAACCGGCTCTTCACAAGATCTGGAGCAGGGCCTACCGGTGCCGAACGGGGACACACTGGATCCTGATAGTGTGTCGCGCCGTCAAAATAGATTAGTACGAAGATTTCGCTATCGACTGGTGCTGCTAAGATTAGGACCAGCAATGATTGCTATGAAATTAAATATTGAAACTCGTGGATTGACCAGGGTGGTAGACTGGATCAGTTCTTTAATGTAATAATATTCAAAATATAAGACAAACAGCAACGGACGAAGAAGAACCAGCCAAAACACACAAAAAAAACAAAAAAAAACAAAATATCAAGAAAAAAAATTACTCTAGGCAAAGCAAAAGCATGTTGGAGACTATTCGCGATGCAGCAAAGAAGAATCCAGGATACGTTTGTTTTGATCTTTTTACTATTTAATCTTTAATACCCTTTTCAAGAATGATTCTCCTTTTTTCCGTTTGCTTGTTTGTCACTTAGAAATTTATATATAGTAAAAATGTATAGTAAAATATTTAGGGTGGCCACCCATTAATAAAATTATTTATTGTAATAATAATAATAATCACAAGCAGCATGTTGACAGGATGTCACTAGATCTTAACCTAATGCACGTAATACGGCAAGCCACAAGATGACGTTCGTTCTTTTGCAGAATTTATTTATCACAAAGCGATATTTCTTCTCTCTATTAGTTCTTTCTCTTTACAGAGCCTCCTCAATATGATCTGATAACATGACCTCTACATGAGGCTGGTTGTCGCTCAAATCAATCCTTTACACTCCCTTTAACCTTTTTCACTTATTTCTTTTTTAAAAAAAATGAATAACAATGGCTGTAATGAACACAAAAAGCGTGTTTTTATTGTTGGAGATACAATAAAAGGAGTTGGCGTATGTAAACGTGCGGTTAATTGTAAATCAATGTTCCTCTGTGAAGCCAGTTCATATAAAAAAAAGAACAAGAAGAACAAGGGTAGAAATATATGAAGTAAACTCACGATTAAGCAAAAGCTGAAATTGTAGTTTTATTATAACTTTGCCTACATTCACTTTAAGGACGAAAGCGATGCGGTTTTGTTCTTTTTCTACTATCAATATAAAAAACTATTGTGGGTCGTACCTACCACAATTGCCGTTACTTCCAATCTGACCTCGGATGTGGCTATAGGCTTTCTATCCGCGTTTTATTCTCAAAAACAATAAAAACAAATTTCTTGTAATTTATACTCTTTACATCTTTCTAAGTCGCGCATCGTGGCACACAAATGTCAGACTATGGTCTTACAGAAGCAAATACAGGGGAAGATTCAGCAGAGGACATGGTCGAAAGAATTTTACCTAGGATGGGGAACCTAAACAAAATCCAATACCACAGCAAGGCCAGAGCCTCAGCCAACAGCAATAATTCAGCTGAAAACTCCACCACAAGCGCCTTGCCAACTGAACTCCACCTCAGCGAACGACAACCACTACATTCATTCTTACAGACATCAAGCGCTTTTGCCTTAACGGGGAATCTCTTGGCGAGTCTTTCTTTCGATTTGTAATGAGAGCACAATAGAGATGCTTCAGAACAGTATGTCTTCATATGGTTATTGACCATATCAATTATACCGTCTAGAGTCTCTCTTGAAACACCTTTCTTTTTAGTGCACTGGAAAGTTTTAATGCTAGTTTGAAGTACAGGATCATCAACTGTAGTGTAATCGATTTTGACTTTTTTTTTTTTTTT